ATAATATATATAATAAGGAGATACTTGCTATAGTTCGAGTACTAGAGAAATAGAGAGCTAAGCTAGAGGGCTTTTAGGATACTCTCTTTAAGATCTATTCTAATTATTATATTTTGGAGTACTTTATAATTACTAAGAAGCTCTTTTCTTAATAAGCTAGATAGGCTAAGCTCTTATCCCGCTATTATTTCAAGCTTATATATTATTCTAGAAAATTAAATAAATAAATAAATACTTTATTATAAAAATAAGATAAAGTAAATACTTAGGGCCAGATTAAGAAGAAGCTATAAACTCAAGTACTTCTCTCTAAAAATAAGATTAATCCAGAGATTATCTATAACTTATAGCTTATAGTAATACTTTATAAGGTCGGCTTACTTAATCCGGAATTTGGCCCTAAAAACCAAGTATATACTAAAGATTTTCCGGAGAAAAATATTCCTATTAGAGGTATAATTCCCCTAAAAGAAGATATTCTCTTAAAAGCTTTACTAGTAAACTCTGCTATAGTAGCTCCTATAGAAGTACTATTAGAGGCTCTTGCCAAGTATAGTAGTTTATAACTTGTAAATAAGATCCTATAGAATAATTATATATTACCGGATCTAAAGAAGCTATATATAATAGCCCAAGCCAAAAGTAATATCTAAATATTATAAGACGGCCTTCTTTTATATTATAAAAAACTCTATATTACAGAGAATAAAATAATTCCCGGATTATTTTTACGGACTGCCCTAATCTATAAAGTATATAATAAATCCCTTTTTAGATATCCTGGATATATAAAGCTTTAATAGCTATTAAAGAAGTAATATTACTAGCTATCTATAGGCAAGAATATTAATTAATACTATAGTAATTACTATACTTATAGGAGATTATATATATCTAGAAATAAGAAGCCTAGTTTGCTTTATTTCCTTCTAGTTCCTAATTACCCCTAGTAATATATTACTATAGACTTTAAAAGCTATCCAGAAAGTAAATCAGGCTATAATATAATTACTATATTTATAGATTACTTATTTAAATACCTAATTATAATTCCCGTATAAGATATAATTATAGCCAAGTAGCTAGTACCTCTGTTTTTACTTTATATAATATACTAAGTAAGTATTCCAGAAATAATTATATTAGATTAGGGACCCTAATTTATATCCGATTTTTAGAGCGAATTCTATATAAGAATTAGTATAAAGCTCAAGCTCTTTATAGCTAATTACTCCTAAATAGATAGATAAACGGAGATTATTAATTAGTATTTTAATTAGAAATTATACCTATATATTAATTACTACCAGGATAACTGGAACTAATAGGTTACTATAATTAATTATTAATAAGCCTCTCTTTAGTATAAAACTATTAGCTAGTCCCTATTTATAACTAAAAAGAACTACGAGCCTTATACCTCTCTGGACTAGAACTCCCCTATTAAAGCTAACTTACCTAAAGAGAAACTAAATAGGGATAAAGCTAAAGTATTAGTAAATCGATTATATAAATTATAGTAACTTGCCTAAAGCTATATAAAGTAAGTACAGGAATAATATGTGGTATAAGCTAATAAATACTACTATCCGATTAATTTTAAAGTAGGAAATAAAGTATAGGTTACTATAAAGTACTAGAAATTCAATTATCCGAGCCAGAAGCTAGGGAACTAAATAGAGGGCCTATTTGAGATTCTAGAATAGTATGGCTATTCGTTTCTCCTAAAACTGCTGGAAACCATAAAGATATATCCAGTTTTCTATATAGAGAAGCTATAAAAAGACCCCTAGAATTCTCTACTAGATTAAGTGAATCCGGAACCGCCCTTATTAATACTAGAGAATAGTAAATAAGAGTACGGCATTAAACGGGTTATTATAGTTAAGCTAGTAAGAAATAGGCTAAAGTATAGAATTTAGTAGATTAGTTAGGATAAAGATCTAGTATAATATCTAGCTTTAGTACTAAGTAATAGCCCCCTGGTTTTATAGAGTTTCTATAATAATAATATTAATATACCAGGACTTTTATAAAACCTGTAATACTAGCTAGACTATACAAAAAACAATACTAGTCCAGAACTATACGGAAATAATAATAAACCTTCCTAGGTCATATGGCAAAGGCACTAGCCTTTTATATATAATATCTATATCCGAGATACTAGTTTTACTTTGGGAAGGAGTATAGTACGAAATTGGATAGATTAATGGCTTATATAAAGCTCGGGGATAAGCTTATTACAAAGGGAGGAAGTAATGTTATAATTCCCAGATATCCGGTATCTGAAATGCCTCGCCAGATACCAGATGCCTCCTAGGCGCACGTAATGCGGCCGCCTTACTAGGGAAATATGCTTGGAATATACTGGAGATATTTAGAAGGCTAGCTCCTTCAGGACTAGTATACTATAGGGTGTATATACTCCCTCGCAGCCTCCTGTATTCTAGTTTTCCCTTCCTTAGCTTTAAATCGTCTTTATAAGAGACCTTCTACCTTGCTTTCTAAGCCCTGAATACCGTACCCGTAATAATCCAGATCCGGAATAATATCCTGCTTTCTTATTAAATAATAGTACCCTAGCTCTTTAGAGTTTCTATAATAAGAACTTCAAATAGCCAGGACTACCCTAGAATCTCTCTTATTAGTTAGATTATACCAAGAATAATATATTACTAGAACTATATAATACGGACGGAAATTCTTTAAAGTTATATATAAAAGGCCCTGGCCTTTAATATATGACCTATAACTTGGAAATTTAATAGGGATTTTTAAAGCTCGGGAATAAGCTTATTTTAAAGAGAGAGATAATATTATAATTATTATAATATATAGTATTAGTAGGAATTAGACTAGAGCTAGAGAAATATCTAGTATCTAAAAGAGGCATCTGGTATCTAAGTAAGGCATCTATAATTACCTAATTATTACACGTGACCCCGAGCTTAAGCTAGTATATGGGCCCATATATAGCTTATAATTATTTAGATCCGAGGCTCCTTTAAGATTCTCTTCTTTTTTTAGCTTTAAATTATTAAAATAGAGATAGTCTAATTATATTTTCTAGGCCCTAGATCTTATATTTATAATAATTACAAATATATAAATAGAATTAATAAAAAGGCTACTATTTTAAATAAAACTATTAATAAATATAATAAGTATTTTATAAAATTATTTTATAATATTATTTATATTTATTATATAATAAAATAATATATATATTATATAAATAATAGTTATCTAGTAAAGTTATAGACCTTAATAATTAGGCTTATAGACTATAAGAAAAATATTATATTAACTTTTATTTATAAACTTATTTAGAAAAATTCTTATTAGTTCTATAATTATAAGAAGATTCTCGTAATAATAATTTGCTTTAGACTAGAGAATTAGATATATTTATAGGCTAAAAAGAATCCGAAAGTAATTTATTTAGCTAGCTAATTATTTCCGGGCTATTTTATAAATCTATATAAAGAAATTACTATAATTTATAAGTATTTTATAAAGGTTATAAAGAATAGTTTAATTAAGTTATAAATAGTACTATAATTAGAGATTAGTTATATAATCTAGATTATAAAAAAATAATTAGATAAAGGCTAGAACCTATTATAAACCTGGTTTTAAGAGTTTCTAGTAATAAAATAGCTTCTTATAGATCTAAAAATAATAAAGACTATAAGAAAGATTAGTATAAGTATTTTTAATATAGCTTATAAATATAAAAGCAAATACTAAATTATATACCTTTATATTCTAATAAAAGCTATAGGCTTACAAATTATCTTTCTCGAAAAGTGCCTATAAAAAGAGTAGTAATACCCATAACTTGTCTAATATTATATTTCTTCTCTTATAATAGAGCTCAAATCTCTAATATATACCCGTAATTACCTCTAATCCCTAGTACCTTGCCCTATAATCCTTATACTAAATATTTATTAGGCCAAGATTATAGGCTAGTGAAAACCGAAAAAGTAAATAGAAGCCGGGTAGTAAAGAAGAAGGGCTAGGAGAAGCAGGAGAAGCAGGAGGATTTGCTATAGCCAGAATATGGTCTTATTCGATTTATATATTAGTCCGCCGAATACGCTTGCGGGACCGTGGGTTCTTATCCCCGTCCGTAACTAGCTGCCATAGACCGCTACGGGTCTGCCGGGGCATATTAGGATCGAGCTTAGCAAGAGCAGGCTAGCGTATTCTCTGGCGGGCCTAAAAAGAGATTAGCTATAGGAGAAGAAGAGAGAAGAGAGAGAAACCCTGTAATATAGATATATCTTATATACTATGCTATTAGGATTATAAGGAAATTGAGAGAAGGAACGATATTATATATAACTTGTATAAAAATTACGGGAAGAGGAATTTATTATAAAAGAAAGCTTACTGGCCGGATAAAAGGAGAAAAGGAGGCTAGAGCGAAGCGTGGGCTGGAAGTTTTGGTGTTCCTGCTTAGGTGAGAATGCGTAACCAGGAATTTTAACTGGTGGTCCGACCGTACGACAATGTTATATAGAAGTCGTGCGGGTAACAAACACGCGCAAGCCCATCACTCCTCCGACCTTGACACCATCCTTGCTCACCCCTTGGCTTCCCAACTCGTGATACAAAAGGACAACGACGGAACAACGTCGCTTCAACACGCGCTGGAAATAGGACAGTTCGGAGCCGTGGATGCACTGTTAGCAAAAGGCGCTGATCATCTGGAGGCAGATGGAGAAGGGAACACAGCGCTGCATTACCTAGCTGCCCAAGCTCAGGGAGAAGACTTCTTAAATCTTGCTTTTCTCTCACGCCTATTCGAAGACCAATCTAGCCAAGCCACGGATTCAAGTGGTCGGGATTTCTCCAAACCTTCCCTTATTACCTCCCTATTCACTAAATTCGTTAAGCTTGGGGTTGATATCAACGCAAGAAATAAGCCGGGGGAGACGTGCCTTTTCGGTTTTGTATGCATCAAAGAGATTGGAGTGTTCCATATCAAGTTCTTCGAAGAAAACGGCTCGGACTTCACAATCGTGAACGCGAAAGGAGAAGGCTTGTTGCATGCGTGTGCCAAAGGGGGGGAGTCTCCTGCTCGGACATACGGTGCGGATAGGATTAGCCAAGTTTTTGAGTATTGGGATGAGGCTAAAGGCATGTTACAAGAAGGGGCCGGGGTAAAAGGATACAAGGGTGTGAATGGGAAGGCGGGCTTATTTAAGTGGTTGATGGAGGTTCAAGACTTGGATCCCCTGGCGGAGGATATAGAGAGTAGGAGCGCGCTTGATGTCGCGACTGCGAGTGGCTGTACTGGGATTTTGGAGTTGTTTAGGAGGAAGGATAACTAGGCGAACGTTATGAGGAGCCTGAGAGGTGGAGGGGGATTATCAACCAATTAGCGCGATTCTCCATCGATCGATTATCGAGCCCACTGCCGCCAGCTTCGCTTCCTTCGGGATTGAGTGACTGAGTTCGTCTACATGACGCACTACAGTGTCGTTCCTATTGAAACATCTTTCTCTCCACTTGACCGCAATTGGGTTTCCACCGAGCAATGGAAACATGCAGTCACCGATCAACACATCCACCTTCCCACTTCGAACCTTAAACCGCTACAAAGTCACGTGTCACACCGAAACTCCCCACCACCTCCCTCCAACCAACATCATTCCCACCCAAAATAGTTTTAAAGATTTCCCTACCCGCCCAAAACGCCCTGTCTCCACCAATAAACAAACTCACTTCTGCCTGTGAAACGGGGTCGTGCAAGTCGCCCAGCCAAGACAGGGGGTTTCGGGTTTCGGCTCGCGAATCGCCGTTTCGTGCAAGTCTCAATCGAGTCTCAAGCTCCCCCACCCCACGGCCCAGAAATGACAGGAATCCGTCTCTTTACCCCTCGTACCTCGAGAAGCAGAGGACAATCTATTTCTGACTTCGTCTCTTTCACTGGCAGCGGGTTATACTTATATTTACCTCATTACACCCTTCTGATCAAGGAAGGCCGTTTTTGGATTTTTGGATTGCAAGCGAAGCTGTTTCAGGGGTCAAAGTCAAAAACTTCAACGAAAGGTTAGAGGTGAGAGAAGAGGTGTGTAAGGGAGGCAACGAACAAAGTTTAACTTTATTTCTGTAAGTTTTATGCACTGCGGCGAAGTTTTCTCCCATACTTTGGTTCGAATCGAGTTTAGTTATTTGCATTTTTGCTCCTTGCTGCCTCACTTGCGCAATGTCTGTGATGCGTTTGGAGAGCTGACGGAAATGGTTCGCTAGGATGTGTTGCGATAATCAAGGCATTGCATTGCATGTGTGTCTCCTGGGCGATCAGGGGGAACACACAATTTCGAATCAAAGCCACCTTTATCAAACCACATCATGGCAACATGGGGCGCATACTTCAGCTCCTACGTGAAGAAGACGAGCAATCCAAAGCAAGTCGAACTGGAGGAGCTTAATGAGAAGGAATTGTTATCTCAATCAAGCAACGGACCGAAGCGTATTGAGTCAGGCAGCTCCCAGAAAAGTGTAAAAAAGCTTTATGATCTTGCAGAGGAGCCGCAGAGTCATCAGCCAAAAAGGTCAGCTTCGAACGCTGCGAGGGTTGCGAAGATGTTCGGGTATGGCACACCAGCACCAGAGGCGGAGGTGAAGGTTGAACCTGTTGCGCCGATGGCGACATGGACGAAGATTGAACCAGTTGCTCCGCTGTCGTTCACAAAGATCGATACCACGCCGGCACTAGCACCGGCGCCGGCTGCGGTGCTCCCTTCCTTCATGGAAAGATTCGAAAGCACAGCGACACCCGTGATAGCACCGCCAGCGCCGAAGGAAGTTGAAAGTAAACCTCTCCCGGCGGCTCCAGCGGCCAAGAAAAACGCAAAAGCACTTCCAACGGCTCCGGTAAAATCAAAGTCCAAACAAGATGTCTTTGCCATGCTCGATGACTTCGCAAGCTTCGCAGATAACCCAGACGCCATCCAAATCTTGCCCGACCTACCGGCGAAGAAGCCAGTCGTCGCAGAGCTCAGACTGGAAACGAAAAATATTGTTACTCAGAACACGAGGGAGGATTACCGACCAGCGCCTGCGAGGAAAGATTCCTTCTGGAGCGAAACAGAAAGTCCAGCCTCCTACCGCTCCTCCAGAAAAGGGTCATTCCAAAGCCAAATGAGCCAAACCGAAACTCCTGCTTCGCCACTCTCATCTAACTCGTTCAGAAAAAACCCTTTCCAAAGCCAGCTTTCTCCCTTGCTCTCACGTCCAAAACTAGTGGTTGCCAAGAACGCCTCACTTGAGCCATCTGAGGATTTCCGAAGCCGTATGGAGGAATTTGAGCGGCAATCAGAGGAATTGAAACGTGAGCAGAAAAGACGGGACGAGGAGAGGGAGCAGATTCTTAAGTATGAGAGGATGCAGGATCAGATGCGGTATGAAAGGGAGAAGATGGAGATTGAGAGGGAGGAGATGATGGAGGAGCAGAGAAAATTCGAGCAAGAAGCGGCGAGGATTGCTCAGGAGGAGAAGCAGATGGAGCAATTTATGAAGAGTTTAAAAGTGGAGATGGAGAGGGATAGGGAGAATGAAGAGAGGAAGCGTAGGGTTGCTGAGGAGGCTGAACGAGACAAGCTGAGAGCTCTTGAGGCCCAGGAGCGAGAGCAGGCTAAGATTGAAGCCGAAGAGAGGGAGTTGAGAGAGCAAGAAGCGAGGCTTGCACAGCGCCAAAGAGAAGCCGAAGAGAAGGAGCGAAAACTGCTGCTGAAAGATGAGCGATTAGCTCAAGAGGAAGCTGATCGTTTGACTGCTTTGGCGCTTCGGGAAGCTAAGGAAGAAGACCGCCGAAGAAACGAATATGAGGAGGAAATGGAAGCGGATCGACGGAGATTCGAGGTGGAACAAGAGGAAGAGGAGCGACGCAGAGCCAATGACGAGGAATTTGAGAGGCAACGCCAACGTCGATTTATAGCCGAGCGAGCAGAGCGCGAGAGATTGGAGCAAGAACGAGAAGAACAAGAGAGATTCGAGCAACAAGAGGCCGAAATGGAGCGTCAACGTGCGAGAGATGAGAGAATTGAAACACAGAGACGAGTGGCGGAGGAGAGAGTACAACGAGCTCAGTTTGAGGAGAATGAGTCTAGGCGCCGCGATCAAGAGAATGTAGATCGAAGATTCGATCAACAGGGAGAAGAGTCTGATGACGACAGACCGCTCACCAAGGAGCAAGAGATGGAGAAAGCCGAAGAAAAGATCCGTCAAGCTTTCGCTGGCCTTGCCAAGGAGAAGGACCAAAATGCCCAACCAGTCCAGAGATCAAATACCGTTGCAATCCAGATGCCGAGACCAATTGCGCCTGTCAAGAATTATTCCAGAGGCATAATACCAGCTGGGGGAGAATCGAGGGTAAACAAAGGGGAGCCAGAGCAACAAAACGCAGATAGGGTTTTGGGTAGGAATAACACAGTTGCGGCCTTTGGAGCAAAGCCTGGGCCAGCGAAGAAGCCTGGAGTTTTGCAGAAGCCTCCTAGGGCACCAGGTGGAAGTCTGGGAAATATTGGTTTGCCGGGTGGTCCGAGGTCTGGTTTACCTTCAGGACCGGGGCCAAAGAGAAACCTAACAACGCGGAGATGATATCTGTAATCAAAGAAATTAATTGTAATACGCTCCATGCATTATTATGAACCTTCCAAGCTTCAGTGATTTCTCATCTGTTCACGAAGGAACACCTCGATCTTTGACTTTTTGGATGGATAAGCTGATTCCGCTTGAGTGGATCGGAATACTTGGAAGGGCTTCTCAACCCAGGACGAGACGAGACGAATGAAGGAAACAGTGTTGGTTGGATGAAACGCTCTAGGAGGGACAAATATAAGAAAAGTGAACATCATTACTTCTTCTCCGCCTCGATAAACCCCAAGTACTGCCTGACTAGCTCTTTCACTGTCTCTTCAAATGAGACGTGTCCCCAGCCAAACGCCTCCCGAGTCTCTCTTGTATCCAACCTCCAAGTTCTCGTCCTCATTCTTCCCTCTAACTTCAAAACTCCTTTCTCTACAGCCCCGGGAAAGTTCTTCTGAACAACTCTCTTCGCATCGTCCCAGCAGATTCCCTCCGGAGCATCTGAGCTCAGGATGTAGTCTTTATTTCCAGGAACAGACGGTTTCAAGCCATCGATATGAGCCTTCGCGACGTCATCGACATGCACCGACGCCCCGATCATCTCAGGCATTGTCATATCCATGAGCATCCCCAGCACCATAGCGCGGGAGCTCGTCATCAGCTCGGTCACATTCGTAGCCAGTTCGTCCGGCCCGAAAACCACTGTCGGCAGGAGATTTACGAACTCGAAATTTGGCCTCTCCTTCTCCATGAATTGTTTTGTGGTAATGCGTGAGAGCGTTTTTGAGGCGAAATAAGCTTCCATAGCTGAGGAATACGGTTTGGCTGGCTTAGAGTCGATGTCGGCGGATGTGAAGAGCGTGAGGTCAGGGGTGGGAGGGGCAGGACCAAACATCCAGGTGAAGGGGACAAGGGTGACGGCTGAGGAGGTGATGACTACCCGTTTTATTGAGGGTGTGCGCTGAGCGGCGCTGAGCACCGCGAGGGTGACTTTGATGGCAGGGGCGATGATGTCACGGTCGTAGTCATCGGTCTAGAGGTGGATTAACTCTGATTCCATGGGGTGGATGAGAGAATCTTACCTCGTTTGCCAGTGGCGAGGCCAAATGGAGGATACCCACCACTCCCTTTAAGTGAGAATCGAAGGAATTGGTGTCCGAGAGGTCGGGGATAATGGACCATTGGAGCTGGGCCACATAAGGTGCGACGCGTATGTGGGACTCGAGTTTCTTCGCCTGTTCAGCTTTGCGGATGACAGCTCGTACTTGAAATCCCGCTTCGAGTGCGAGAATGAGAGTCTTAAATCCGATGTAACCCGAGACACCAGTGATCTTGAACGGGTCAGCGATCGCGTTTCGTTGCGGGAGGGAGCCACACTTACGAGAATGAGATCTCCTGCCATGGTGGATTGGGATGAAGAGAGGCTGCCGGGGTGTTTTTGTTTAAAAATCGAAGGTTGAGATGAGGCTTGGGAATTGAGAGCACTGGGATCTTGGTGGATGAAGAAGGTGCGATGAACAATGAAGTGAATGAGAGAATGGAATTGAATCCCATCTTAAATATACTTGCGACGACATCTGAACCGGACGAACTATCCGGACATTGAACAATGATGATGCAATGAAACTTCAATTGCGATCGGAATGGTAGTATTCGACAACTTCACCGTCGGAGACCATTGTCGTCGAAAAAGCCACACGGAAAATCGACAAAATGTCACAGGGGATGGCCGGAGATAAGGCAGCGGCCTCAAAAGATGCCTTGGGGCTGCTTTTCACAATGTAACGCTGGTTATATTGGACTGAGAAATAGAGCAAATAACGAATAGATCCTTTTTAGGCCAGATGAAATTGGACTGGAGTTGTTTTGAACCGATTTATGACCTTGCTGATAAAAATGAAGATGGGCGGAGCTCAGCGCAGACGAAGACTTGGCGGCGGAAGGGAGTCTTTACTAATCAATCTAACCGAAAGAAGGAAGGCGTTGCATCGCGTCCACACGTCCATCCCCGTCAACTCCGACTTCTCTCCATCTAAATCCGCAACGGCTTTTACTAGTCCAAGCATACTCGATGACCAGAGGGGCCCGGGCTGGGGCATCTGTCGCCCCAATATCCGAAAACACACTCTGTGTCGAAAATGGATCGAGAGCCCGAGATGGCTCAGGTGATGCCAAGCCGGCAAATCGACACGGATTCAGGGCCATTTCTCTGCAAGATCTGCTCTAAGGCATTCGCAAAGCGTTCGCCGCACCTCTCTTTACCCCGAACCCCCGTCATTCTCCATTGTGAATCCACTGCTGACAATCTTCAAGGCCCATCACGAAACCGGCACGTGCTGTATTGCCGAAAGAAGTTGGGAGATAATCTCCCTGTGTTGAGAAAGTCTTGTGGGGCATGTCGAAAGGCCAAAGTGAAATGCAGCTCGGAATTCCCACGCTGTCATCGCTGTACAGAGAAGGATCTCGTTTGTATGTACGAATTGACTCGGCGGAGTGGGAACCTGCCTCAGCAACCTGCGTTCACTCCGCGACCTCAGCCAAGCTCTGATGCTACATTACTTGTCGACTCCTCGGAACTGGCGACTCAAAACGAGATCTCTTGGGATACCACTCTAGGACATTACAACGGAACTCTGATTGGCTCTGACGTCGATCCTTCTGGTATCTGGCCTGCCATTGGACCAGACCTTTCCTGCCAAAATGGCCCATCTCATGCCTGGGAACCGGATGCCGGGTTTGTGGAAGACTTAGAATTTTCCGACCTTGCCACAGTCTCATTTTCCATTGGCTCCTCAAACAATGAATCATCTTTCGACTGGTTCTCGTCAGGTCCTTCACGAAGCTTACCGCTGGATGCAATATTCTCAACCCCGCCAGACTGCATGTTCCATACTCCCTACCTAGTCCTCCGGCCCATGGACCGCGACTACCAGCCACCATCCTCTCCCCTCATCTCACATCGGAGTCCCTTCATTCAGACCTATGTCTCATCCAGCTCACAAATCGGACGAACGTTCCTCCTGCAAAGCATACAATCCTACGCTACAATTCTCGCAACTTCCAATCTACCCCCTTTCATCCACTCAATCTCTCTGCCAACCCACGGCCCTTCACTCCCTTCTTCTGCGCCCTTAGAAATCTGCAAATCCATTGTCTCTCTATACAAGACCAAAACACCTTCAACAAGCCCGTTCATCTGGCGCTCCATCACAATGGAGAAGGATCGCTTCATGAACGAATTTGAGGAGGCGGATAAGTGGACTATGCTTGCAATGCTACAGGCAATTACCGTGTATATTCTCCTCAGGATCTTCGATCAGGACTCGTTTTCCGTTGATTTCGACCGCGAGCTTGTCAGTGCCATGACGGTAAGATGCCTGCCTCGACCAAGAGACAATGTACTAATAGTCTCCCAAGGAAATTGCGATTATCTCTGAGCAAGCTAAGTTTCTTTGTCGCGCCGAGGTAGAAGGGTGGCGGCCGGAGTGGAAGGAATGGGTGTTATTCGAGTCAAAACGAAGGTTGCTTCTTCATTTCCCCTTTGCTAAAAAATTTCTATTGACCAGAGCCTAGGACTGTGACATTACTCTTCATTCTGCACCTTTTGTTCGACATCAAGCCTGAGCAAAGAGCCAAGTCCAAGGTCGGGCTTTCAGTTCTCCCGCTACCGGCGCATAAACAACTTTGGCAGGCTAGCGACGAGGAGGAGTGGAAACAAGCGTATGATGAAATGTTGAAGGGCAGAGAGGGTAGAGGTTATTTGAGGTACGGAGATTTACTTGGGCTTGGGAAGGGATGCGGAGGGGAGAGAATGAAAGATTTGAATGCATGGATGGTGAGCGGCGATGCATTTGGAATTCTGGTCATGATGGCTGCGACAACATTGTGACAGCAATTGAGGCCATTTGGGAATGGGCGCCTGAGGCGAGGAGGTTGTAAATTTCATTCTTTGAGATCGTCTCGAGCTGACTATTGTCTTAGGTTGACTTGGTCCGCTACAACAAGTCCCATAGGAGAACATCGTCCCAATCACATATTTCGATGTTGAATTGCTCTTCTTAACTTTCTACTGGTGGAAGTGGAGGATTGCTTCCGGGGGAGCAGCAGCTACAGTACTGATTTGCGGTATCCTCTCAAAACGCTTCTTTTATTCATCGCCAGCTTTAATGTACGACACAGCGAGCCAAGATCAAGGTCTAGAGCCACAAGGGCTTTTAGGCTGAACTGCCACCAAAGCAAGAGCGAGAACTAGGAAGGTATGTGACACCGCGAGCATTAGTGAGATTTCAAGCCCCGAATGTGCAGCGAATAGTGGGCGCAGAACCGTGAATGGCGTCCAAAGGCACTCACTTGCATCATGCAGCAGGGGCACGCGGCACGGCACGAGCGAGGCACACGAGTGCCGGGCATTTATCGGGGAAATTACAGCACGTTTCTTCCTTGATCATACGTTCCTCCACCGTCAGCTTACACGAATCGCCGTCCCATGCAACCAGTCCCAGTTGTCGCGTCTTTGGGATATATTTCTTTGCTCCTGGAGTATGGAATTTTTGCAGATATGATGTCTCATATTTGAAGCCTCTCGCCAGTTACGCAACACTCATTATCGAGACGATCTCCGCGCTCTTCTAAGGTTCCTTCAGTACAAAGAATTCTCTGCGACCAGAGGAAACGTTCTGAATAGATCCAATGACGCTCAACGGGAGCTTTGGCGGCGCTTCGATTTTCGATCGAATGTTGGAATCGAATCGAATCATTCCTCCAGCCATGGACGCCTTTGTCCACAATCTCATTCGAGCTCATGCAGAGCAAGATCCCGATTTACAAGCAATATGCTCTTCGGATGGCAACCTCAGCTACGGCGAGCTCGAGGATCTCTCTTCACAACTAGCGACCCATCTCGTTACACAAGGTGTTGGACCCGAAGTCATCGTTCCCTTGTGCTTCGAGAAGTCTAAATGGGCAATTGTCGGGCTGCTTGCGATTCTCAAGGCAGGAGGCGCCTTCGCTCTTCTGGATCCCTCTCAACCTGTTGCTCGGCTGGAGTACTTTGTCAAGCAAGCAGGAGCCACTTTCGCTCTCTCATCTTCAGCATGTTTGGGTACCTGTCAGAATCTCGTAGAACGGTCATTTGTCGTGGATGCCGAGGCGTTCCTCAAACTGAAAAAAGCCCCAGTCCACTCTTCCGCCAAGCTCATCAACGCGGCTTACATCATCTTCACTTCAGGGAGTACTGGTGTTCCAAAAGCTGTCATCAGTAGGTACTTATCTGAGGAGAGCTTTTGATCCGAATGTCTCACAAATCATCTAGTTGAGCATTCGCAACTCTCCACCACAGCTACCTACTGCGGGCAGCGTATGGGTTATGGCAAGAAATCTCGCGTCTTCCAGTTTGCCTCATACGCTTTTGATGCTTGCATCACGGACATCTTTGCAACTCTCGTTCATGGAGGAACCGTGTGTATTCCTTCAGAGTGGGAGAGAAATAATGCCATAGTTGATGCGATGAACAGAATGGAAGTCACGAACGCCAAGTTTACACCTTCACTCGCTACTAATCTCACTTTCGAAAATGTGCCGACCTTGAAGACGTTAATATTGGGTGGAGAGAGTGCTTCTCCCTCATTCATTGAGAAGTGGGCTTCGAAATTAAGACTGATTTTGGTTTACGGTGAGAAATTTCTTGCTATATTTTCGGCTAAAAATTGGCTTAGCTTTCGCTATAGGCCCCACTGAATGTTGTGTCATTTGCTTCACTTCGGACGCCAGCGATCACCAGACAGCGCTTGGAGAAATAGGGAGACCAGTCAGCTCTCGAGCCTGGATCTCAAAGCAGGGTAATTGGAATGAACTGGCTGAGATTGGAGAGGTTGGAGAGCTTCTGATCGAAGGGCCACTTGTTGGACGAGGATATTTGAATGATCAGTCCAAGACCGACGAGAAATTCATCCGCAATCCGGATTGGACGCCACATATTAATGGGTCCACGGCCCATAAACCGATCCGATTGTATCGAACTGGTGATTTGGCAAGGTACCTTGAGGATGGGAGGGTTTGTTACATGGGAAGGATCGACAATCAGGTCAAAATTCGGGGAGTACGGCTTGAATTAGAAGAGGTGGAGAAGAATCTCCGTAGCTGCTTAAGCGAGTTGGAAGATGTGGAAACGAAGCACGTATTGGTCGAGGCAGTGATTTTGTCTGGCTTGGTCACCAAGCAGTTGGTGGCATTCTTATGCCTTACCACTTCTGCTCCAATTGGTTGTCTAGATTGGGATAGAAAGAACGAAGATGACGGCCCCTCTCTCAGGACATCGCCCCAGGAGCAAGAAGCCTTCTCGTCTCTGATTTCGCGGATCGAGGCAAAGTTGAGGCTGATACTCCCGACTTACGCTGTGCCATCAATCTGGATTCCTGTTAGACACGTTCCTCTTACTGTCTCTCGGAAGCTTGACCGAAAACTCCTCCGGGACGGCGTCACTCCACTATCTGCTAAGCAACTTGCTATTTTCACTCATGCGAGTAGCCGATCTTCCGGGGTGAAGTCGCTCTCACACTTAACTGAGAACGAGTCGCAATTTCGACGGCTTTGGGCAGATGTGTTTTGTGTCCCGCCTTCAGATATCGATCTGGATGACAATTTCTTCTCCCTGGGAGGAGATTCTGTCTTGGCGATAAAGCTTGTTGCTGCAGCCCGAACTGGTGGTTTAGACTTAAGCCTCGAGGCCATTTTCGATCATCCTGTCCTATCCGACATGGCGAATATCACAAAAGGTCTCACTCACGGCGATGAAACCCCGGTCGACATTGCTCCATTTTCCCTCCTGGATAAGAGTTGGGATATCAAGCTTGTGCTTCAGGAAGCTCGCAAACGTTGTTCTATCGCCCCGCACAATATTCGAGATATCTATCCTGTCACACCCATGCAAGAGGGTCTCCTGGCTCTGTCAATGAAGGATGATGGCACATATATTCTGCAGTTCGTGTATCAAATGCCAGAGACTATAGACCTAGATAAGTTGAGAAATGCATGGGAAAATATCTCGAAGCATACGGAAGTTCTGCGGACGAGGTTCTTCGACTACAATTCAGAGTTGTTACAGGTCGTAGTCGATGAGCCTCTCAATTGGGACGTGGTCGACGGAGATTTGGCTTCTTTCCTTAGAACGGAGAAGCAGCGGGGTCTTCATTTGGAGAAGACCATGTCTCGTCTGTCGGCAGTAAGGCAGGATGACCCTCGGCAATACTTCCTTGTGTGGACTATCCACCATGCTCTGGTAAGCCCTTTAGACCTATTTTAAACGAGAAAGATATTAAGCTTGGATGCCCCAATACTAGCTAACTTGCGTATATCAATAGATAGATGGATGGTCTGAATCAGATATTATTACCTCCGTCGAACAGGAATATTTGGGAGTCACACCAGCAATGCCAGCCAATCCAAAGTTCAACACCTTTGTCAAGCATATTATGAAGCAAGACAAGTCTTCGGCGAAGGAGCTTTGGAAGGAACAATTGACTGGTACATCCGCTCCTGTCTTCCCACCGCTTCCGAACCCAAATTACATCCCGAAGGTGCAAAGGTCCAATCGCATCCTCCATCATCTTAATTCACACGCCGATGCAGAGCTGGAGCACAAGGTAGTCTCTATCAAACGAGGATCTACTACGGCGGCTACTATGATACAAGCAGCTTGGTTCCTTCTTCTTGCCAGTTACTCGAATTCCACAGACATTATCACAGGCGTCACCTTGAATGGCCGCACTGCACAACTTCCAGGAATCGACCGAATCCCAGGACCGACAGTGACAACAATCCCATTCAGGGCACGATTCACACCAGACCAAAGAGTTCAAGACTTTCTTCAAATAATTCAGAAGCAGTACCTCAAAATCCTCCCATTCGCTCAGTTTGGACTCGACAACATCCGACGGGTGAGCGAAGACGCCGTACCAGCTTGCAAATTCCGCAGCCTCCTGGTCGTGCAATCCGCACACAGGGCTCCAGATTCGAAGACAATACTGCAGGGGAGGAGCTACAGTTTCCCGGTCATGGACTTCGCAATTGTGATGGAATGCGAACTTCACAAAGATAATAACATTGACTTCAGAGCAACATTCGATAATCAAGTCCTCTCCGAAGCTCAAGTGCGGAAAATGTTCCAACAAATGGAGCAGCTCCTTCTCAGGATATCTGTCTGCGGCCCTTCAACGACAGTGGCAGAACTGCAGAAAGAACTTCAAATCGATGTGATGGCGACGCACCAGGCAAATGGAACCGCTCATTCGTCGGCGCCGCCCAGGAAAAGCTACAAGCCTCCTTTAACAGACATGGAGAAGAGAATTTCTGGTATTTGGAAAACCCTTCTCGGTGTTGATCAGGTTGGACTTGATGACAACTTCTTCGAGCTTGGAGGTGGCAGCGTGCTTGCCATGCGTCTGGTGTCGATGGCGCGAAGAGAGGGCATGACTATGACAGTTGCAGGGATTTTCAAAACTCCTAATCTGATGCAACTGGCTTTGACAGCGCGGGAAAATGTGAGGGCTGACGAAGTCACTCCATTTTCTCTACTATCCGGTCCAAGTAAAGCAAAATTATGCAACCAAGCAACTCAGCAGTGTAGGGTCAGTCTTGAAGAAATTGAGGACATGTATCCTATTACTGCGATGCAGCTACATTACGTTACTGGGTACCCTGAAGCCGAGAAAGATATCAACGGCCCGTGGGATTGGCAATCGCAAGCGGTGTATTCTCTTCCGCATGCTATCGATTTCGAGAAATTCAAGGGTATCTGGATATCGGCAATTCATCGTCACCAAAGTCTTCGGACTCGTGTCATAAACACTGGCCATGGGATATTTCAGGTGGTGCTCAAGGAGCCCCAGCCTTTCCGATGGGCCGAAGCAAATGATCTGGATCGATACGTCGAAGAAGATAAAACAGCACCCATGACATTTGGGGATCGACTTTTACGGCTTGCAATTGTGGCGCCTAAAGGCAGCGATGAGCGATTTTTCGTCATGACAGCACATCATATGATTTACGATGCCTTTGCTCGAAGTATGCTGTTCAAGGAACTGGAAGCGGCTTATTTCCAAGACCTGCCAGACACGCCTCTGCCAACAATGAACCAGTTCGTCAAGTACATCACGGAAGCTGATAAGCAATCCGCCACCGACTTTTGGACTTCGCATCTAGCAGGCGCCAACACGAAGCCATTATTTCTCATTCCACCTGGTCGGATTGTCTTCAACATCACTGAAAAGTCCATGTCGATAGGGAGCCCCGAGATTCAGCGAGCAGAATGTACCCTGCCAACCATGATCGAAATAGCCTGCAGCCTGACGATCGCCCGTCATCTCGACTGCGAGGACGTGATCCTCTATTCCGATCGCTCAGGACGAAACCTACCTGTGGATGGTATCCAAGATCTCATCGGTCCTACAACACTTTTCATCCCCGTGCGAACACACATCAATCCGAATCAAAAAGTCAAAGATCTACTCTGTGAGTCCCAGCAGTTCAACAGTACCAGCATACCATTCGAACATCTCGGCTGGCTGGAGCTGAGAGAGATGAGCCACTTGAAAGACCGGTTGAAGAATTCGTTGAATATCAATATCAATCCGCATCCACTGGCGAGTTTGGGGAAGGGTTGGGGGCTTGAATATATGAGCTCGCATGCTGGGTGCGATGACCCGTTTGGTGTTAACGTTGACCTATATGATGGGAGGATGGAGTGGGTGGTTTATTATGATGAGAGATTCGTTGGGAGTGAGGTGGTGGAGAGGCTGTTACGGGAAATGAAGAGGGTATTTTTGACACTTGTGGATGCGGGGTTAAAGCCGGAGATGACTGTTGGGGAGGTTTTGAATTCTCCTGCAATGATGTAGAGGGTGACACCTTCCTATTGGAGGGCAGAGCATGGTCGGTATATAATTCTTTCTATTTGAAAACTAATCTTGTTCATAAGTGTATGAAGTCGACTTGGAGCGTCCTAACCTTTTCCGTCCAGTGGCTTCTTTCCTGAAACTTTGCCATGCTATTCGTCCCCCGACTATTGGAGTGTGTCCTAGCAAGTCGGCCCCCTCAAAAATCCCAATCGCCTAGTCTTCGCCGACCACCCAACCTTGATCTGTTCCATCCCATCTGTCAATACGAGCGGTTTAGGAATCGGGCGCTACGATTAATCAATCGTAGCGCCGATTAATCAATCGGGACTCCCATTAATCAATCGTAAATGGAATACGATTCGCAAGCCACAGTGGGTCCCGATTAATCAATCGGGGGGCCGATTGATCAATCGGAGAGCCGATTGCCTAATCGGGTAATATTGAGGTTTCGGGAATAGTAAAAGCTTTACTATACATGCCTCCCACTACGTCTAGGCGCTCCTATAGCCACCCTAGCCCTTTTTGGTGCCCTCCCCTCTACTTGATCACCTGATTCTCCTCCTTCTCTAGCTCCATTCTCACGTGCTTGCTCCTTAGCTACTCTCTTCTTTGCTCTCTCAGATACTCTTCCAGCCTTCTGAACTGACGCAATTGAACCACGATTATTCTCCTTTGCTACCGCTTTGGGAAGGGTAATTTTATCCCTCTTGTGGATTGCACCAGTAGTAGGTAAATCAGGATAAGTTAATTGGGAGGTGATTTTGTTGAGGGCACTATGCGGCCAGAGAGTAGTAAGCTCGCCATACTTAGTAGCTAGACAGTAGCCCTATTTTAATTAGCTTTTATTAAAAGTAAGGCTCATAAATCACATACCTTTGAAGTCTTTTCCAGAACTCTCACTAGAATCCTAGCCATTTCTGTACTGAATCTGTATTGCTTTGGGATCCCGAGGGTTGCAATCTCTTGAATATCATACTCAAGAGCTTTAGAATTCGCTCTCTTTACCATATTCTCCCTCTGTTTTCTCATATGCTCCGCAACCCTCTTAGTTAGTTCAGATAAAATCATCTCCTCAGCTGCTTCTTCTTGATCTGCTTCCTCGTCAACGAATAAGCTATCCTCTCCACCCTCAGAACTACTATTCTCATCACTCTCAACCTCTTCCCCTCCCTCTATACCTCCCAGGGCTATATATGCACGGCGAGCGCTCTCCTTGTGATCCAGGAAATCAGTAGGTGGCTTTCGTCCAAACCAGACCTCGTATGGTGTATTTCCCTTAGGAAGGGCCCCTGTAGCTGTGGTATTAATTACCCATGCGATTAAAGGAAGTAACTGTATCCACGATTGGATACCAGTATCCGCTCGTGCGGCCCGTAGCCGTTTCTTAAAGATTCGATTAGCCACCTCAATAGAGCCCTGAGATTGGGGGTGATAAGCTCGTCCGCGAATAATCTTTATCCCTCTCTTCTTGCAAATCTCAATCACTTTCCCCTTAAACTCCCCCCCATTATCACAGGCTAGAATGGAAATATATCCATTATTATTTAGCCATTTGACAAGCTCGTCCGCAGCTTTGTCCGCAGTCTTAGCCTTAAGCCCACGGATCCAGACGAACTTGGAAAAGTGGCATTTCAATTGCCAGATCCACGTATATTCTCCGTCCGGATCATGCTATAATAGTATTAGTAATAATAATACTATAGTATTAATGAAGTGTGGATAAAAAGGTTCGGAATTTATGAAAATCACAGGAATCGCGAAAATTATAGGAAAAGCTTAAAAACGCACGAAATGCACGAAATGCAGGAATATAGGGGTAAATCACATGACTTAAGGGACACTTACACGAAAATCCATTAAATCCAGAACCATACGCTCGCCAGGATAATGAGATTGGATAGGTATAATCTCCTTATTATTCTTCTGAGTCTTTTCCTTATTACAGTGAGAACAGCGAGCACTTATCCAAGCGTGGTCGTCACGGGACGGGCCATGCCAAATTCGTCTTGCATGCTCAAATGCAATATTAGGGGCTATTATATAGGTAATTAGTATAAAAATTAGTATATTTCAGGGATACTTACCTGCATACATTAATTTCTCATGAATAGTAGTCAAAATCTCAAAGGCATTGTTATAGCAAAGAGCATAGCGAGCTGGAAGGATCTCATCGCGGCGACTATCATGGTATTCCTTACGATATACCTGATTATCCTGAAGCTCGTATAATTGGGATTCGTGCTTGATATTAGCCTGGTAGCGTTTCTCTGCTTTTGTTCCACTAGGGAGCGAAGCATCAGGATTTTGCAACCACCATCTAATATCCATACGTTTCCTAGCAGTAAGAATTTTCTTACTACCACCTGTAGCAAGCCTTTGATCCCACGCAGCTTCGTCTTCAGCGGACCAATTATCAGTAGGCTCTTCAGCAATAGGGGAGGGTAAGAACTGAGTGCCAGAGGAACGTGCTCCTGGTGCAGTAATATCAAAATATTAATCTGCACGGCCATAGGTGCGTTCGCGAGGCGTACGAGGGGCTGGAGATAAACGAAGGGTTAAAAGAGACATAGTAGAAGTGAGGTAATAATTAAGAAGTATATAGAATCAGTGGTTTTGCTTAGAAAGCTAGTGCTTGTACTATGAACTGTGTACTGTGAACTGTGTACTGTGAACTATATGCTGTGAACTGTGTCTAGGTAGTAAAAAGGGAGCAGAGGCCCTATACATATCTAGAGGCTCTAGAGAAGTGTCTTTACCCCTATTATATACTGAGAACTAAAGGGTTTCAGCCATTAGTCTTGAGGATATATTATTACATACTGAGAACTAAAAGGTTTCAGCCATTAGTCTTGAGGATATATTATTACATACTGAGAACTAAAAGGTTTCAGCCATTAGTCTTGAGGATATATTATTACATACTGAGAACTGAAGGGTTTCAGCCTCCTTAGGCCCGAAACCCCAATATTATACAATTGATCAATCGGCCCCCCGATTAATTAATCGGGACCCACTGTGGCTTGCGAATCGTATTCCATTTACGATTGATTAATGGGAGTCCCGATTGATTAATCGGCGCTACGATTGATCAATCGTAGCGCCCGATTCCTAAACCGCTCGTATTGACAGATGGGATGGAACAGATCTTCGGATCTTCCCAACCAGAAAATTCGACACTTCTCTTTATCAGTAAGCCCATTCGCCTTGTCCAATATTTATTTCGCACCTGACAGTGCTGATGTGTATGATGAGGATGGGAGAGTTATTTCTTGTATAATCCGGCTATTCAACATCAGGTCCTTTTCACCACCTGGAAATGGTCCGTTTCCTCTTGGAGATAGATTAGGAACGCTATCATTGCGAATATTAGGATAGAACCTGCAACTGTGGCTATGCATACTACTGTACCGAGTGATTCCTCGACTGAATCGACGAATTGGCGTTTGGAGCGAAAAGGCTTCGAGGACAAAGAAGTTATAGATAAAGGAAAGTGAGATAGTCAAGATTGAAATATTATTTTAGAAATTTAATAAAGAGATATAAAGGGAGGAAAATACTATATGTTTTCTAAAGCTAGATGAAATTAAGCGGAAAGTTGTGTGGTGGGTGGCGAGGATTTGAGCAAGTTTATCAAGTCGATTCGCTTGTAACCGAAGTTAAATTCCTTTAAGAGTCTGCCATCGACATGGGATATATAATAAAAGAACATGGTTTTTCTGTCATAAATATTAAATAGAGAGAAAAGTAGAGGTTTAGAGGGGTTAGACATGGGGGGCCTGTTGAGTTGATTTTTTCGATATATTGGTCAATTCGTTATTCGTTATTCGTTCCTCGTCGCCTGCCCTTTACTTGCGTAGAGCCCATATACACTCTCCGTGCGATATGCAACAAAAACACGTGACAGCTGGGCGAAAGAAGAATAGATAACCTTAGATAGTAGTGCCGGGGAGTTAAGCGTGAGTTGAGAGGTAGAGATGGGTGAATAGGGGCATGGCCGTAAGCGAATCAGAACAAAGGGGCGATGACGTCGAGAATAGACAGAGGATAATCGAAGGCCAAGCTGCATTTGATAGCATATACACATTCTACAAAGACCTTTAGCGTCCATTTGATTGCCCTAAAAAAAACAGAGCACGAGATACTGAGAATGAGAATTCGTGGCTGCGTTGGTGATTAGTTTAGGCTTTATTTTCCCGTAACTTTCAAGAAGTGCAAAAACATTGTCTGAACGCCTGTTACAGAATCATCTCATGATTCCCATCGTCCGGTGCTTACTGGAAGTATGCTTTCTCACTTCATGTTCGGCATGCCAGGATGTACCTGGGCTGATTTGGAGCCTCACGACTGCACCTCTGTTTCCTCGAGAGTTTGAAACTCTTTGCCGGGTACGGTGATTTCTTCAGCCCCATCACAGGGACATTCGCTGAAAAATAAGTTCGATTTGAACTTTGCTCCTTTCACAAACACTTGAAAACCAGACTGCAGAAATAATATCTGATTAGAGATTCAGTGTCTATTAATGATCGAGCAGCGTACACGCGAAAGCCTCTTCTCGAGATTTTGACGATGTTTCACAATACCCGTCAAACAACCAAACATCTTGGCGAGGATCCACCATCCCACTTCAGTATCCACCGGCCCCCACCCATGCAACCGCAGCCGTTTGCAGTTATCTTATCGTACGATCTTCGACCCAATTTTGTGGTTTGGATTTTGGATTGAGATACGTCAAGAATCGGATGATGTATGCGCCTCTATAAGGTGTCAGTGGCCGCTGTCCGGTGTGGCAGGCTGCAGTTTCCGCTTCGCCTTCACTATTCCTTCCCCTTTTGCCAGCAGGCCTGACTCTCCTTTTGACCTGTGATCATATTATTTTCTGTCTAAAGCGGTGCTGTGCACATTTCGGCTTCATTTACATCCTCCAAAATGCCATCTCTAAAACAGATTCTCTACGCGGCTGGGCCATTCTGGCAGTAGCCAACGGCCAAGGCGTCCTCCTCAGCGCCCAAGGAACGAAAGGCACACCAGCCAGCCCAGGCCTCCAAGTTGACCCCACCCAAACCGACGCAAACATCATCAATGAGGCCGAGATCAACGCCAATGTCGTCAACGAGTGCGGACGGACTCTGCTCGCAGGCAACATCGACATCGGCCAGAACACCGAAGACCAGTTGGCGAACAATACCGTCACCTCTGTCACAAAGGGCAGCACAGTCGCTGTGACGATTCGTCAAGGAAGTGCTGATGGCGCGGGACCGTATACCTGTGATATGGACCTGACGAGCAATGCGGATGGTGTCTCGGGACAAACAAAGCTCACTGTGAAAGAGACGGACTCGGCAGATGGGAACATCACTCTTGCCGTCAAGATGCCTTCGAACATGGCTTGCGTTGGAGGTAGGTCCCTTCTGCCCTGCTATCAACTTGAATTGAGCATGATCTCTGACACTAAACTCAGCCTCAACCGGAAACGTCTGCACAGTTCGCTGCTTTAACAGCGCTGCAGCTGGCCCTTTCGGTGGCTGCTTCGCCGTCCAGCAAACAGATGTGACCCCGAATGCCAACTCACCGGCAACCATTAAGACAGAGCAGTCCCTTGAGGGAGTCGCGGCCCAGATCGCTGTAAATCAGGTTGATCTGCCAGCTGCGGTGAAGGCGAACCAGGACGCTTCTACGGAGGCGGAACAGGGACTTCTTGAGGCAAATGCTCTGCTGGCTATTAACAACCTAGGGCAAGCAACTGGAGTTGCTGCGGTGGCTGCCACTACTGCAACGACCAGTGCGAAGAGTACGGCAACTGCGAAGGCTAAGGCTGGGAAGAAGGGACAGAAAGGAGCAAGGGCGTTTGTTGCTTGATTTGAGCATAGATTGATTGAGAATAGGGTTTAATTACCCAGAATAAACTTGCTTGATGAGCTCGACCTTAAATATTTAGCAATACCAGAAATATCCAAGACAATTACTAGCCCTAGAAGCAAAGATAACAAGTAAAAGTATAGCAATCTGGTAAAAGTCTAGATACGAATACACACTTCTCTTCGCCAGTTGTCGTATCTGGGTTCTCAGCGGTGACGGACTACCTTTTGCAGGTATTTCGGCCGCGACGAGGAGAAACGGTTTCGAGAGTCGCGTTCGGGTCTCTGCGAGATCAGGGGGAGATAGCGGCAATTGGAGTTTATGAAGGCGAACATTGAACAAATAACTTGCTTTTATAACCCCTCCGCTCGGGAGCTCTGGTGCTCCGCTACAGACGCGTCTTAGAAACATTACTGAGGAAACAGCAGCACTTGCGCAAAGCTTCTATCCCCCGTCAAATCATTGCTGCAATTAGTAACTATACGTTGCGATGATAGCGACGCGTGAAGAGAGCGGGATACGACGAGGTGGAGAGAAAGGGACTTGTTGTTGAAGATGGTGGAAAGAAAATGGTGTCGCCAACAACCTTACGAGTTAGAGGCACCATCACCCACCAACCAACCACCCACACCCCCTTCCCGCTCAACTTGGATTTTGGAGACCTTAACGCCACAAATTCGAAAAGTTAATACAGTATTCGCGATGTTTCGAGTATTCTCTATAATTTGTATTCTTATTTTAGAATTTTCCAAAGACTTTGAAAAATCGAGAAAATTTTGGTGGGGTAGGCGTGGGCGGGAAGGGGGCTACGGGGGTTTGGGCGGTTGGTGGGTGATCCCTTCTAGTTCTACTGTACGAAGGCGCGCCGAATTGAAAACCGTCCGTTTGCTAAGCGAGAATTTGGAAAATCATTCCCTCACCTTGAAAAATTCGTAATAAAACTACCTAAAAGCTCAGAACCACGAAACCATAATAAAAGATACTTTGACTTCTTTTCTATGTAAAGCTTAATTTAAAGTATTCGGACTTGGTAGTGCTATGATGCGCAATTTTCAAAAACTAAATATTTTGGTGTTCTTTGCCTTAGGCGAAAATGGACGGATTTCAATTCGGTGCGCCTTCGTAACCTTACGCAGCGTCTTCGTTTAGCGGGCAATTTTTCAACCTCCTCCTATCAACCTGCAACTCTCCCTCTTAGCATACACCAGATGGACCCCATCCCGACGATCGCATAGTGCGGCGTGCGAATGAGAGGTAGAGGTAGGTATCTTCGAGGTAGGTGTACCTCTAGATTTTTCATTGTTCCCTTTTCCAGAGCATCAATTGTATCAGAGGGACCCAAAACGTGGCGTCAACTATGAAGCAGCATCGTCAATCCTCCCCCATCATGGCTCCTGCCAAGAAGTAGCTCATTCTCAATGCATTTGCTATGCAATTGCCAGGACATCTTAATCCTGACCTTTTCAAATGCCCCGCAGAAAAGTCTTAAAATACAACAACATCAAGCATCGGCAAGTTCTCGCCCAAAAGCTCGAAGCAGCGAAGTTTCAGGCCATCTTCTTCGCCGATGTCCCGGGAGGCTACGATGTCTACAAAGGGCCTACGAGCCTCGAACCAGCTATTCCTGCCACTGCTCAATTCCCCGTCAACGACCCTTTGTACATCATTCCTGCCATTGCCGGAGTGACAGAAAGTATAGGCTTCGGCGTCACCGTGTCGACTTCTTACGAACATCCCTCCGCCATGGCATGCAAATTCTCGGCCGTCAACCAATCGAGCAACGGAAGGGTGACTTGGAACATCGTTACAACATACCTCGACTCAGCGGCGCGGAATTGCGGCCTCAGTACACAAAGTCGAGCATGATAAGCGGTACAACATTGCACACGAGTATCTCGAGATCACATATGAATTTTGGGAAGAGCCTTGGAGGGGTGATGCTGTGGGCGCAACGCCGAAGGGCAGCTCTGCGGACCCGAAGGGTTTGAGGCAGATCAACCATAATGCACGAACGCGAGAAGCAACATCTTACGAAAGATAAGTATGCAAGCTGGCTTACTGCATCTCCGATGCGTTAGAGCAACAAGGGGGAATATACAGAGTGTATGAAGTTGAGCAAACAAGCTTTCAGAAACAAGTGGGAGCAGAGAACGGGAGTTCGTGAGATACCCAGAATTCTTAGGAAGTCCATACGGCGGCTTCACTCAAGAGAAACCTGTTGAGAATCTGCGGCTCAGAAACGTTGTCTGGAAGCTTCGGAATTTGGATGAGAGATTCATTGCTGGCGGCCAAATGTACTCGGGAGAGTTGAGTCTTGCCCAATCATCGATATTTCAAATGTGGAGGTACGAAGCGTACTGGATGCTCTCTAATTCGGCCCAAAAGACTAGCATAACAGCTTTGTTAGTATGAGGCAACGGCGAAACAGAGGCAACTGACCCAGAGTTGAGTTCGCGAGAATGGAGCCCACAGTGCGATTCCCATATGCAAACTCAGGGGGAAGAATTAGCTTTGTGTCGGTTCGTTAGTAGATGCTTCCCAAGAGGGGTGGGAGCTTCCAGCCCAGTTTATAAGAAGGCTTCATAACTCATGATATACCTTTGATCGCCGATACACATATTCAGCATTCCCAGGCCAAAACTATAACTCCCATTACTCTAAGTATTGTCAGGCAGTTGACAAAAATTCACCCTATAATCACTTCATGAGCTCCAAGTTTGAAGTTGACGGTGAGGACGTCCCCGTTTTTCGTCGCTCTGTTGCAGGGAAAGGCATGGATATTGCTGACATTTTGCGCGGCAAAGGAGGTAGTTAAGGCGAGGGCCAGAAACGACAGCAAACAAGACACCATGTTCACGGCCTATGTGAACAATTGCTAAGAACAGATCAAGGAAAAGGTGTCGCAAATGGGAATTCTAAAATAATTGTTATGTGAAGTGTCCCCCCACCCCATGTTCATAAACGCCCGGAGATAAATGCTGTCCGAGTTTGCATGCAGAAGGTTGCAGGTATAATAATATGAAAAATAAATCGAAAATAAATCGAAATTTTTTTGCCTTTAGTTTATATTAAAGGCAAATAATATATACAACTGTTTTTCAACAAAATATATAATATCAAGTGCGGCGCTCCAGCGCTGCGATAGACGGCCCAGCAAATAGATGGTTGCTTGCAACGTGGCTGATTTACCCAATCGTGGTATCAATTATAGTTCACTGAAACGGGAAGCCTCCTCCATTTATTGACAAGCTCAAGAACTCGCCAAGGACCACTTCTCTAGTATTCCCTCAACGTGCAGGCGCGCGATCCACATTGGCCACTCTAACAAATTCCTGCTGTCCTCTGAAATTGAGTTGTGAATCCCCGGGATCCATGTATTCATGCGGATGCCATACATGGTGACGGTGTAATGCTTCCTCTCTCGACATGAAATTGGCCGCATGACGAGGTGCAGCGCCACGAGGTGAGCAAGCAGAAGTTGGCTTGTCTCGTTACTGGGTTCGAGAAGTTGGAGGAAGGCGGTGTGGTCGAGTTGAGTTATTAAAGCGTCCATTTTTATGCATGCATCATACGCTGGTTTTTTATTTTAGTTCAATGCGAGGAACCACGTAGTATGGCAGAGTCTTACCGGCAATAGGTGAGATGTGAAGTAATTCAAAAGTCTTTTTCAACCCATAAAAGACCTTAACCTGAAAGTCTTCTATGCAAAGAGGCTGTAGAGTTTGGACAGACGCTACCGCCTTCTGAGAAAATGCTACATCGAATATCGGTGCATCCTTGAACCTTCCCCTCATAATGGCAAGCTTGGTATACTCATTCTCGTCCCCCAGAACACTCTTGACCTTCTGCTCTCTTACCCATCTGGTGGTCCATTCACAGCTCCTTGTTAACACCAAAGAAGCCTGGAGTCCATCGTCCATATACCATGATTGGAGCAGGAGGGCATAACAAGCTGCTATTGCAGCATCAGCTTCTTCACTATTGCATATCGGTCGAGAGAGTGCTTCGTTGAGCCCTTTCATAGCAGCTAAACGGTGGGTCTGAGCGGGAATTGATAAACAACTTGGAGCTGGAGAAATCTTCCCGAGATGTGAAGCGGAGAGAGCGAGCATGGCATGCATCAAATATTCACACTGTATTGGTCATCAGAAATGCAAATCTGATTATGAAAGGAAAACTTGCTTGATGGCCAAGAGGGGTGATATATGAAAGCCATATATTGTCAGATCTGACAGGGAAATGTGGAAATGCAGCGACAAGAAAATGATGAAACAGCCGCATGTCGGTCAGACTAAAGATATTGCCGATGTGTAAAGAGGAGATTCGCTGCACTGGTAGTTTGGTTGCTATAGCCGCTGCTTCAGGAAGATACCGGCAGCGAAGAGATAGCCGGGCACAGTTATCGCACCTGGGATGTTTCTCTTGGCACTGCCTCCCGTCAATAAGAGAAGACTTTGGTTGGAATAGAGATGTACTTTGATCTTGCGTCGTTTGCATTCTAGACATCCTTGTCTTGACTTCTTGTGGCCTTTTCTGGGCCTTCTTCTGAGACAAACGGCGGAACCTGGATTGCAACTTGTTTCGTGGGAATTCCCCATTTATGGAGGAAACAAAAAATCTCCAAAGGGTACGGTAATTAACAAACAGTCCGGGATAACTAAAGGGGTGTTATTTTGAAGCGGACGAGTTCCTCGAATATCCTTTCCAAGTTGAATGGTCTCCGGGGCAAAGCCAGCGAAACTTCTTAGAAGAAAGGTTGCGGGATTCCAAAGTGAAATGAAGACGAGAGGAATATCGGGAGTGAGAGGGAAGCACGTGGGAGCGGGGTATGCTTATTACCTCAGCAGCAGAAAATTTATTAGTTCAGACAAGTGGCGTGCCAAGCTCGGATTGAATGCGAGAACTGTACGTTGATTGGCTCGTCAGGCAACCAACCACTTTTGGTCCAGTGACAACCTGATGCTTTAGATACATTATGACTCTGAGGCTTATATATACCTATTTACAACTGTGAAAATAGACGGGGCTATATGCTCTCTTGTAACTTTAGACTCTTACTTTCAATACGCTCAGTTGATTGCCGTCCATGGTTCAAAATAGTATTCTTGCACTTAGCAGTGAGAGGGCGTTATGAAAGGTGTCGATCAGCTCATTGATTCATTATATGAGGGAACAAGGGACTAGAAGAAATGAAAATGAGTAGTTGACATAATCGTGTTCTCGGGTATTTTAAACCACCTCTTAAAGCATTTAGTTAAATTGTTTGCGTACATCTCTATTAACTTATCAGAATTGTGCACTCTCACAATATGTGCAGGTTACATTTCGCGTTGAAAAGTGCCACTGGTGTATTTAGCAACTACCGTGGCTCTTGGCACTTGTTCACATTCTTCCGTTTCCGACCTTAATGTGACTAAATAAGGGTTTTATCCGTGCCAGAAGAATAAAGGAGAACATCCGAAAGGTTATCAACGCAGGTCAGATGCATTCTAACAAATTCTCTATCAAAGATTACTAAGAACAGAGAGCATATAAATGAATAGATCACACTTCACGGCCTTGAGATTTGTCTTGACGGAATGTCTGGGAGTACTCAGAGGGAAAATGGATCCATCATAGAAGGAGCATAGAGAATGAGGACGAATTTGGTAACTACAAAGAGGAGCTCGAGCAGAAATGAAGGTCTCGAGGTCGCTTTATAATAATGCAAATACTTTGGGAAGAGTGAAAGGGGTTGGGGAAGATGTGATTTGGTTCAATTAGCCCTGGTCCAACGACCCGTTCTCAGTTTCATGCACGCTATGAGCAAGGGGCTTGGCAAATGACTTTTTTTCTTCAACGCCAGGTATCAGTTGCAGCTATTTCAATGTCGTTTTGCACTTGCACTTATATGGAAGGGGCAAAGATTTGTGTTTACGCTAAGAGTACATATCTTACATCAAACGGTATTCTCAGCCTTCACTCGCGGCTCAGATGAATGGTATACAAATCACTGAAAGTCAGCTGCATTTTAGTTAACACCCTCCAGCTCTACCTTTTTACTCCTCTTTTAAAGCTTCCTATCCTGTAGCTAGTTAGTATCACTTCCTTCGAACGGAATGGTTCGGGATGTTATAGCATCGCTGACATTGAACTGCGTGACCCCCCCACAACATTGCGCACCCCCAACCCCCCCCCGAACATTTGAAACTGCAAGAAGCAATCTTTCGATGCTTCACTGCCAGCTGCTGCGACTTTAGGGGCCTTCCGTGAGGTTGAGTCCGCAGGCCACGCTCGTCCCCGAAATTGACGAAGGAGCCAATCAGGGGCCGGGAATGCTAACTCGATTGCAGCACCCATCCGCAGCTCGGAGCAGCCTACGTTGATCCCTTCCCGTACCTCATTTTACCTATTCCTAGGATTTCGACACTTTATCATTTGCCACTCGGAGAACGACAAAACGATGCCCAGCCATTTCGGACTTCCCATTGACCAAGAGACATGTGGCCGCGTGGTCGGGAACCATCTTCGGCTGGACTGATTGGTCAAGCCTCAGCTATTTCTAGGCACCAATTCAACTTCACTCATCTCTTGTTCTTCATCGAGTAGTTCTGCTTAAAGTTTGGGATAACGTCCCGCTTTGACTCGGAAGAATATTTTCCTTCCTCTGCAAAAAATTAGCCTTCAGGATTTTTATTTCCCATCTCATCTCCTTTCTCTCCCTAGTCGCCATCATAAACGGGACGGGAGACGAACAGAGGAAATAATTCTATAAGACGATGATCCTCGCCCTCCTGAACGCCGATATTTCCTCTTCTCGCCTCCAAACATTTTACAAGATCATCATGAAACTCTGGACCTACTCATATGTCGCCTTGTCGACGATGTTTACTTCCAGGTGTTTTGCAACTACTACTATCCCTTCTCCTGCCTTCCCATCCAGTATGATCGAATTTTCTTCTACATTTGAATAACCTCTCCCTCCATCGGTGAGCACCGAATACACTGCCAGCTTCCTCCAGCACAAATGGTATAGCTTCTCCCAATCCCATCCACATACTTCTTAACTTTAGCTAAAAAAAAACCACCCCCTAACTAGGAACCTCAACCTCTCTCACATCACCGCTGGTTATATCTACTCCTCACCTCGCGCTCTCAAAGTCCGCGCAGACGAAGCCTATGCCCTAAACCTAGCTTCCTCCATATTCGATTATAACAACATCTCATCATCAGGCTTGGTATCTAATATCATGTATTCATTCACCCCTTCAATCGCTTCATCTCCTACGGTATTCAACGATTACGTAAACCCCAGTTTCCCGCTGTTCACGGAAGACATACTGGTCCAAAACAGTGCTGTTTTTACAGGCTTGGTGAGGAGAGATATGAACGGGGTTGTTGCTTCGGTATGCGATTTTTTTGTTTGGAGTTTTGCAAGGGAAGAAAGACAAGACGCTAATTGTGCGCAGTGGTCAATACTGTATCAGAATGCAATCCCGGTAACCATTTTTGTGAATGCGTTTGATACAGTTGTTGGGTATGACTACTTTTCACCAGGCCTGAGGACAAGAGTCGTGACGGAATTTTTCAATATACTGATTGGGCCAGTTCCTGACGAGGTATTCCAATGGCCTCAGCAGTAGATTACTTTGGGGAAATACAACCAATTTAGGACATCAAAAGTCAGTCCGGAACGATATAGAAGTGAGGATATTGGAGATCTATTTTTTGCATGTAGTCAACTTTTTTAATTGTATCTCAGGATTCAAGAAGCAATCAACAAGTTACAGGTGAGAGTTGATCAATACGATTGAGTATCATGTGTACCAAAACCTCTCCCACAGCTCCACGAGGATTCCGGCTCTCGAATGTTTGGATAATCAGCACGGTCATTTGTCGTGACAACTTCGATACACATCAACATAGACTTCGTGACTACACAGACTCATCCGCATCTCATCAACGCCAATCCCCAATTGCTTGGCCGTTTTGAGAACCGCGAGCTGTCTACTTGCTAAATTAATGATGTGAGCAGGGCAAATATAGTTCCTCGTATTTCAGTGGCCAGCTGTGCGAGCTTTTCGTCCACATGTTCGTCATTGGGGCTATATATCTTCATTTCCCATGACTGCCAAGACTTTCGTCCTAGCATTCTCTGCAAGATTCCATCTGGCCAGCCTACCTAAAAAAGAGGATACCTCGAATAGCCACGAGCTTTCGGTATGCGGCAAGTGGGTACTGGGTCGTGCGCAATGCAATCAGGAGTCTATTTCAAGATGCTTTCGCAATATTATCGGGTGAGAAAATAGTAACTTGCAATTCCAAGAATAGCATCTTGTTAAGCAAAATGGGAATTCCGCATCTCGGTACAAAAGGATTGATTTCTGCTCCGAACAGGGCCATTGTTCAGCCAGGCTCTCGCTTTATAGAAGGAAATCCAGGTTGCCCTGTCCTTGAAAACCTACCGCATTCGTTATTTATTTTCGGGCCAAACTGCCAGCATGATTACAATGAAGCATTTCAGCCTCTTTGAGTCAGATGCAGTTCAGGAAGGATCGATTAAAGAGCTAATAAGCCAAGCAAGCTGAAGCTATATACAAAAGAATCACATGCTTACGGACGCAAGTATCGACAGTAAATTCACACTCGCGATAACAACAATCGAAATTTCTGTGCTCCCGCTGTTTCCCTGAAAGCGTCTATGTAAGCGGAATTCAAGGCACGGACTTTGCCATGATGAACTGACGCAACTGTAGAGCTCTCATATGGACATGGGAATGCCCGGCATGGGCATGAGCACCATGGTATCCGCTAAAAGCCCCCCGTTAGCCCAACCTACAGCAGCCTCATCGCCGAAATCGGTTGCTTACGCCTTAAAAAAGAGACTTAACTGTTCCAGGTTTCTTGACCCCGCGGTACTGTTATGGCCGCATAGGCCCGGCTTGCTCTTTCATCGTTACCCCGGCAAATACACCACTTCACTTTTCTGCGAAGGAAGCCGATATTGTCTACAATACTTCGATAGTAAGTTTCGCGAACTATATTATGAACTCATTCTCGAACTAATGACTTCATAGAGTACGGAGATCGCGGCATAAAGTATCGGGAATACAGGGCATTTTGACCTTGGTGCTCTACAGGGCACGAATTTGGGGCAAGAGTTCACTATAAGCCTTATAACTCCAGGCAGTGCTCCCTGAATCGACGTAAAGAGGCGCTATAAGATCTTCTCATGGGATACGTAGATCTTCTAGGGTTATAGCCTATTAGTAGAGTAACTATAGCGCTCGGACGCTAAACAAGTAACTAGTATTGGCCTCCTTAGCGAAGACTCCTTTGTAAGTACAGGGGAGAAGCCCTGAAAAGGTGTGGTAGCCCTTGTCGATGGCGTAAATGCTGCTTCTAGTGGAAGGGCCTGGAAATATAGGGCCTTGTAGCGAGTTCACTACCTTAATCTATACGCTAGAGAGCCTAAAAATTTCTCGATGCCCTGTATTCTCGATACTTTATGCCATTGTCTTCGTATTGACTACGAAGATTGCGGCATAAAGTGACGGGATTACAGGGCATTTACGCTCGCGTAGGGGTCTTAGCGGACTCCAGGGTGTGGTTTAAGGGACTACACCCGCTATAAGCATTGTAACTCCAGGCCTGAACCCCTAAAACAAGGGCTGTGAGACATTTGCAAGGGGTTTGAAGATCTTCAGGGGTTATGGTGTTGCTGGCGGAGCAACTATAGCGCTCGGACGCTGTGAGAGAGCTATTATAGGACCCTTTAGCGACTCTGCCCCTGTAAGCACAGGGGACATGCCTTCTAAAGGTGTGGTACCCCTTGTTTATAGTTTATAGCGTGCTTACAGGAGAGTAGCCTGGAAATATAGGGGGCTTCAGTGGGTGAGTGTGGTAGAAAGTGGCCTGAAAATGGACTTGCAGTACGAATGCCCTGTAATCCCGTCACTTTATGCCGCAATCTTCGTACTAATCGCTGCCCTCCATACCCCCCTAGCTGTTGGACTGCTTATTTCTGGTTTCAGTAATCTTCAATACGGCAAACAAAACTCTGAAGCACCGTCTGCCAAGGTCCGTCCAACTACCCTCCATGTTCTCAACAACAATGACACCCGCATTGGAAAGAACAGTAAACCCAACCGCAATGACATCCCTGATACCCAAGTCGCGACCCGTGTGAGTAACTTGACCGGTTCTCCCGATACATTATTACTAGCGAAGAAGGGAAAAGAGACTCCAACCAAAGTCACTCCGGGTAGTCGTAACAGTCAATCAAATTTCTTTAAAGGACCAGGAGCGGAGATTCCTTCGTTGCCGGGACTTCTGTCCCCCTGAATCAGTTAAGCCAGACAGCGGAGAAACCCTCTCTCGATAGCCAAATTAGAACCAAGGCCTGAGCCAACTATCGAAACAATTTGAAAAGAAAAGTGACCTCGGTTGCAACGAACCTTTACTTGAAGTGAAAAACCTCGGCCCAAAACATGCAGCAGCCAAAGCGATCCCCCGCATTTCGGTTAAGATTGCAAGCTCCAGCCCCGCAATTGATCGACCATGTGGAAGAATTGAACTCAGGCCTCCAATCATATGGAGAGCCTTCCCTTTTGGGGAATCGTTGCGATGTTTCTACGCCATCTCAACTGGGAGCGTACCAGTATTTATGACGCCTAGGCCAATCGTGGCTCTCACAACTCTTGATGGTCTGTGAATGAGAGCGCCTAGGTAGTATTTCCTCGAATGTATTTGAGTTTCATGCAGGTCCGTAACCAGTGCGGAACCATCGAAACGTTAGTGCTAGCCATACGAAGTTTACTTAAAGACGTAGATCCTCGGTCAACGTAAAAGCGAGTTCTGTCAAGAGTAGCAGATCCACAGCGGTCTTCAAAAGTCAGTCATGAAAGCCTCTCTTCTCTATTTTCTAGCATTACCTGCCTTTGCAATTGCGGACACTCTGAAGCAGAGACAATCTGATTGGACAGTCGGCCAAACAGTCCAGACAGATAGTGGACCAGTCAGCGGTCATGCAGCATTGAATGCATCGCAAGTGTCCGAATATCTCGGCATTCCATTTGCTGTGCCTCCAGTGGGAGATCTTCGTTTTGCTGCACCGCAGAAATACTCTGGTAACTCGACTGTCAATGGTACATCCTTCGTGAGTCACTGTCTTCCGTCAGAAACATATTCGAAGTGCGATCACTGAATCAAAACCTAGGGATTTTCTTGCCCTGCCGCCACTATCGCGTCAGGGGTATCGACGGCGAATCTGGCAAGCGCAAACATCACAGCTTCAGGGCTCATAGTCCTGGAAGCTCTTGCACAGTTCGGTGATAAATTCAGCGAGGATTGTCTGACACTGAATGTGTGGACCAAACCACAGACTGGAGACGCTAGGAAGGCTGTCCTGCTTTGGATCTACGGTGGTGGTTTTACCACAGGAAACAGCGACAATCCTGCATATAATGGTCAATTCATTGCTGATCAGGAAGATGTCATTGTTGTGTCTATCAAGTGAGCTTTCATCGCGGGTTCATCTCTTCGTGCAGAAATGGACTACTGACCTCGAATAGCTACCGCCTCAATATTTTTGGGTTTCCGGGAAGCCCCAATGCAACGAACAACCTAGGTCTCCTCGATCAAAGATTGGCTACAGAATGGGTACGCAACAATATCGCCAAATTCGGAGGCGACCCTACTCGCATAACCCTTTTTGGACAGTCCGCAGGCGGTGCATCCGTGGATTATTACTCGTATGCGTGGACATCAGACCCAATTGTTGCAGGCTTTATACCCGAGTCTGGCACCGCCCTTGGACTCGGCCAAAGAACTCCCGAGCAGAGCGCGGCCTCGTGGTACACCGTGTCCGCGAAACTCGGGTGTGGAGGTGCGTCCTCGGGTGGAGCAACTGTACTATCATGCATGCGAACGAAGAACTACACCTCCATTCTCCAAGCCTTGCCTTCTGGAGGTATCACTGGAGGAACTGGCTTCGGCCCTACCATCGACAACGTGGTTGTCTTCTCTGACTACCTCAACCGCTCAGCGGCAGGAAACTTCATCAAGAGACCGATGCTGGTAGGCAATGCCGATAATGAAGCCGGGCTCTTTCGTGCAGTGGCTGCAATCCAAGGCAATTCTTCCAAATTTTCAGATGCATATTGGGATTCTTTCAACCTCCTTGATTTCGTCTGCCCTGCTGCTGCCAGAGCGAATATTTCCGTCGCTAACGGAGTCCCCACATGGAGATATCGATGGTTTGGGGAATTTCCAAACACAATCATCACCACAGTTCCCGATTCAGGGGCCTGGCATGCAAGCGAGCTGCCAGTCCTCTTCAATTACAGCCCTCCCTCGGATCTCGGAATCCCTGTAAGCACGCTGGAGGAGATAGCGATTGGTAACTATTTTCGTGGTGCCTGGGCTACCTTCGCGAAAGATCCAGCGAATGGGCTCAGGACATATGGTGCTGGTAATGGAACGGGGTGGCCAACCTACGTGCCGGGAGGAAATACACTCGTACGACTGGCGTATCAGAATTTGACGGGGCCAAACTTGGCTCCGTCTCAGATGTATGACAGTACCTGCAACGCAATGTTTGTAGTACCTCCTAGTACTTTGGTCAATGGGAGTACCAATGCAACGGCAACTAGAACAGCGCCGGCTGCTACTGTAACGAAATCAGAAGGTGGGAGGGAAAATATTGGTCTGGGGCTGCTCGTATTGTTTGGAGTGTTTACCATTGCGCTGTGAGTGAGTGAGAATATTGGAAGATATAATACTGCGTATCTTATCATAAGCGTAGGAGAATGAATACAAAAGTAATGAGACGTGGGAAGCAGGAAATAATTTGTTTGTCCAAGCCTGGTCCCTTACTCGCTACTCAGGTACTAATCGGGTCCGACACATTAAGCCCCGTTTCGCAACCATTGAATACCGGTATTTGTCAGTATTAGAATACCAGCTTTTGATTATTATAAAAAATATGTTGCATGGCATATGCGCCCCCCCCCCCCCCCCCCCCCCCCCCCCCCACAGTGCCCTCTGCGTGCCGATCTCACCTGTTCAAGGGCTTAGCTCTTGGGCATCTTTCACTCCTATATAAGCTCCTCCGGAGCACCCAATTTATGCTTCAGAGAAGGGCTTCTGCACTTATTAACTAATTTTACTCTTAGTAATAAAATATAAAAATAATTACTTTAAGGCTATATATAGTTTACTAAAAGTAAAAACGAATTATTAAATATAATATAGTTTGCTTTTAAGAAAGGAAAAAAATTAAAGAATATTATAATATAGATTTTTTTCTTTTAAGAAATAATTAATAATCTTAAAGTTTTAAATAATAATTTCTTTTTTATTAGTCATATATATTTTATTAAATTTAAGTATATCTTTAAATAATCTTTATTTTCTAATAGATAAATATTATTCTTCTCTATATTTCTTAAAATTAAGTTTATAATAAGATAACTCTTATTATATAATCTTTATAAAATAATAAAGTTTTATATTTTTTTATTAAAAAAAGTCTTAAGAATATTATTAACTTATTATAAAAGTTTACTATTAGTAAAAATTATTTTTAAATAAAGATACTTCTTTATATATTTATATAAATCTTAAGCTATTAATAAAACAACTTAATTTATTTAGGGCTTAACTTTTAATTAATGTCGTAGCTTTTAAAAAAGTATTAAATAATTAAATAATGGTAATATTATTAGTAAATTTATACTCTAATTATATAATAAGGCTTTTATTATAATACTGACAACGTTGAAGCAAATTGTTAATATCCAGAAGAAAAAGAAGATGCTGGTGCAAGTGACATTTGCTCAAGGTCCCTTGTCAGAGGATGGTATTGACTTAGGAACACTACAGGTATGCTTTGACATCGTGTGCCACTCAACACAACTGACACTGTTGCAGTATTTGAAGTCTGTGCTGGAATAATACCCAGCAAGTTTTTGATTGTTGCAACATGCTAGGAACACGGGGTCGGACTTAACTTAAGTGGTTCTTTTATACCTCGCTTTTAAAAAAGGATAATGCAAGGTATTAACTTGTTGAATACTGAGTGTTGTTCTTATTATTTGTCAGATAATTTTTGCACATTTGTCCCTCAGACTGTCGGTCAAACGAAAGGACATTTGGAAGAGCATGTTGCATCAACAAATAAGCAACTATGCAACTGGCACATGTCCATCGCCATTTCTCTGGGAGTTCGGACATAAGGTCATGGCTCTCAACCATTCAAAGCTTACCTGCCGTGGCCTGCAGCAGTACAGCTCAATATGCTTCAATATTGACTGGGTCTTCGCACGTCTAGATGCCTAGTAGTTTAGGGTAGAAAGCTTAATTGGTATTGAAGTTTTCTATTTGGCCTATGGAAGTGATGGCACAACTAGTATCAAAGCCGAATCGAGCAATGGAGCTCCCGCTGGCCATTACTGGTTCAAGTGCGCCTGGAACATCTCAGGGTACCGAGCACCTGAGACCGTCGCTTTGCTAAGAGCATTCTCCAGCTCCGCGGACTCGGCTTCGGTAAGCTCAACGCTCTTCGTGTTCTCCAGAACGCGTGGTACCTTAGTGGATCCGGGAATAGGTAGCACGCCCTGCTGCTGGACCCAAGCAATGGCGACTTGGGCGCTGGTATTGCCTTTCTTCTTGGCGACCTGCTCGACAGCCTCAGCCAGTTTAACGTTATTTTCGAAGTTGCCGGGCTGGAAGCGCGGGTAGAAGTGGCGGAAGTCGTCCTTGGGGATGTCATCGAGAGTCTTGAACTGGCCGGTCAGCCAGCCGCGATCCAGGGGACTGTAGCCAACGAGCGGGATGCTGAGTTCGCGGCATGTGTCGACGATGCCGCCCTTATCCAATGCGTGCCGTGAGAACAGACTAAACTCGACCTCGACGGCAGCGGGGGGGTACAGGGCGTGGGCACGACGGATTGTCTGAGCGTTCACCTCACTGAGGCCGTAGGATCCGATCTTGCCCGCCTTGACCAGTTCTACGAGCGCCTTGACGCTAGTCTCAACGGGCACTTTGGGGTCGATACGCGCGGGCTCGAAGAGATCAATGGACTTAACGCCGTCGAGTACAGCCAGACATTCGTCTACGGAGGCCCGGATGTGTTCCGGACTGGCCTGTGGCATCTGTGTGGCGCCATCATAGGCCCCCTTGATGCTAAGCACGACGCGAGAGGCATCCTCCGGGTACTTGGTAAAGTAGTGCTTGAGGAGTTGGAGAGAGTTGGCGTTTGGAGGACCGTAGAATGTTCCCTATCGAGGGTGTCAGCAGACAATGTTTGGCTATGTCTCTTGCGCCTTCCTTACGGCATTCCAGAATGTAGCACCATTTTCTAGGGCTGCCTTCATTGGCTTGATCGCTTCGTCGTAGGGAATGCCGCCGAAAAGGGTGAGGGCTGGTGCAAATGATCCGTTAGCAAGTTGGAGCTATGCTTCGCTGCTTTTTTGTCGACCTACTCATCAGGCCATAGCCTACGGGGCCCACAGGCTTCCCAGCGATAGTCTTAGGGGGGGTCAATCGAGACATTGTGGAGGGCGGTTGGGTTTCTGTTATGGCAGAGTTTTGATTGATTTCGATTCTTGGAAGACCGTGTTGGTGGTTTGGTGGAAATTTGATTGCTTGAAGATGACAGCCGTACTTGGGAGATGTCAATGGGTTTTATGCTAAGTCACTACAGTGCTGCAACGAAGACTTCTTTGCTTCTTCGCTATGCTAAGTCCGTTACGCTAAGTCCGCTACGCTGCATGTAACCCTATCATGACGCGCGAGACTGTGTAACCACGGAAAAAGCCTCTGTCTACTTAACTCCACGCGCTCCGAGAGCCTGTCGCATTGTGGCGGCTGAACACAGAAAACATTTGCGGCGTGCGAGGGCTACAGTAAGCTGACTGTTCGACAGGGTGTCGGACATTCATTACAGTAGCCGGTTGCAAAATGCTTGGTCGCAGCTCTGCGCGCGCTCTCCCAATACTGTGAGTACAGTATCCCACGAATGCTGCGTCGGACGTCATCACGTTGATTTTTGGATCCACTCCAAGCCATTCAAGGCATCAAATAGAACATGAGGGTATGGTGTTTTCAATTCCTATCTCGCATCGCTCATTGCTCTATCTAACTTGGAAATTCCGGTGCGCGTCAGACCTACCTACTACTTGGCAATTGGCCGGCGCAACCAAGCGATCGACCCTTGCTCACCAACGAAGGGAACGTACAACAAGATGTTCCCATGCCTGATCAAGAACAAAGAGGGAATGATGCCCTTCATGAAATTTTCCATATGTACCCACGGCAAGACGTATCAGTCCCATAACCAAGATAACTACGAATCTGGTGTCACTTGGCGAATCATGGAGTAACCATTATCCCATACCGGCTTGACTTCGCCCTGCCGCTCTTGCTGGTAGTGAGAGGAGATCTCGTCGATTACATCTACTGAGGGATTCCGACCTGTGGACAAGGAGTTGTGGGAGTACTTTGCCGATCCGTACAAGAACAGCAATAAGGGCATCAAGGGCCGCGGCAAGGACCGCAAAGTCGGCTCTGGCTACAGTGACAGTGGTGGTGCGAAGCTCCGTGGGAACTTGCTATGACGATGCGCCTTTGGCGTTTGGATATAAGATGTATCGAGAGTTTACACGAAGATGTGTGGAAGGGGGACTTGAGATGGCACGAACGACAAAGAAAGGATAGACTCGGTATTGATAGGAAGACTTTGCGGCTCTGGAACAGAACGACACGGATGCTGGGTTAGGTAATGTCAAGGCACTTGCTCTTCTCATTTTTCTCATCGTCCTCTTGTTTCGCAATTTCAAACTGGTGCACACCTCATCATTACTCATATTCCATACTCGCTCTTCAGAGATGGCCGACACATGTCGCATCTTTATTCTCCTTCCTTTCCTCTTCGTTTTTGTCTTTTTGAATTGGGATTTTTGAGTGAACGTTAGTTTTTTATTTATGGGAGGGTCTCATGTCAAAGACTTTTACACGATCCGTCTGCGACGATAATGCATTAGAGGTAGCTTGCTTTGAATTGCACTAATTCCTTGGAGATCAAAGTCACGCGTGTCTTAGAAGGATTTTTTTTAACATCACGGCCTGATAGGTTTTATACATATAAGTGAGAGCAGAAGGATTTATACCATGTTTAACTTGGGCTCGAATTATCGGGAAAATGTAAAACGAGCCCCCCCCCGGGTGTTGATTGGGGGCCGGACTAACCTAAAGTAGAGAGGAACACCAAAAAATCTAGTTTTCCTTTAAGTTTAATTTACTATATAAAGAATTATTATAATTTAATTACTTTTTTATATTATAGAAAGCCAGATTATAAGCTAATAGGATATAAAGTTTTATATATAGTAATTAGTAGGTTTAAGAAAATTTAAAGAAGGTAAGGAAAGTCAGAATTTTTAGGGCACTATGAGAGCCTGAAAACTTAGCGATCAAACGCCTGAAACTAATTTACCTCGTGCGCAATTATCGCCTCGCCTGTTCCACTATTAGGAAAGCTGATTCGAGAGAAGAACTTAAGTAAGTACAAGTAACTAATTAGGCATTATTGAAACTCTCAAATCCATTGATACGAAGTATAATATTTTAATATTAGCTAAATAAAAGTTCTTAAAAGCCCTAATCTTTTAGCTTATACTTATTATATAATATATTAGCCTTTAATTAAAATAGTTTTATATATTTTATGCGATGGGGGTGCGTTCGGGCCAGACGTAATTGGCATTGGGCCATTAGAGTTAGCTTGGAGAGGGAGGTTCGACGCGTTCTATTGAGTCAGTATGTCAAGATAACTCTCGCAGAATCGAGACCTGCCCTTGGGAGGATCGCGCGCAGAAACTTTGTCTTTCAAGATATGTTAGGGAAGCCGCAAATATCGTGGGCATGGGTTTTTGTGTAGGGCGTCGGGATGTAGCAGAAGATCTTGTGTCGAATCTCAATGGGAAGCTTGGGAAAAAGGGAAAGTTCCATCAGTCCCTCGTTCCTCGGCGTTGTTACGGTCGTCATCGCAGGAGATTGTACCATCACGTGTGGTACAATGAAAGGGGGTGGACGGAATAGGGGGGAGGTCGCGCGTTCGCCTGCTGGCAAATGAACGGTGAGAGTTTCGGTGCAGATCGATTTCCGCGGGGTCGTCTTTAGCGAGAGATGGCGCGGAAGTGGCCTGTAAATGCGCCAGAGCTTATTGGCCCGATGAGCCGATAAGGCCTAAACGAAAATATTTTGTGGTGTTATCGGATTTCATCCACCACCGAGACATCTCCATGGAAAACCATCAACACCATCAGCTGCGGGCGGGGAATCTAGGGGATTGATTGATTGATTGATCGGAAATATCTATGCCCTTTCTTTCATCTCTTCTATTGAACACTTTTGCTCGAAATCGCTCGACGGCTCTCTTCCGGCGCATTGCCACTCAAATCTTGAACGTCCTCGTAGCAGGAACAGCTCCACGATACCAACCATGTCACATATATCACTCCTCACATCTATCGACTCCACAGGACATATTCACTTAATCATTGGATCGAATCCATTGGCAGCTGCAAGATGTGCCAAATCCCTCGAAGTCGGCGCGAAGCCCCTGCTCATCGCCCCCGACACAGTAGAGCTACACTATGCACTCCAAAAGAGGATAGATAATGGGGAGGTGGTGTGGTTGAAGAAACCGTTTGAAGATGAAGATGTGCTGCGCCTGGGAAGGGAGGAGATTAATGGCGTCGTGGATGCTGTTTTCGTCACATCTGGACCGCGAGATCCATTGAGTAGGGAGCTCCCTAATATCTTGGACCTTAGCTAACATGATGAAGGCGCACATATCTCCCTGCTCTGTAGACGAAACCGAATACCAGTCAACGTATCCGATGCTTCCTCCCTCTGCACCTTCAGCCTCCTCTCCACACATACCGATGGACCCCTCCAGATTGGCGTAACAACCAACGGCCGAGGCTGCAAACTCTCCTCCCGAATACGACGAGAAATTGCCTCGTGTCTCCCTCCAAACCTAGGCGCAGCTTGTGCCAGACTTGGCACTATCCGCCAACGCATACAAGAAGAAGACCATCTGACACACATGGCACTGTCTGGGGATCTTGACGATGAAGACTCCATAGACCAAACCTCCACCTTTAATAAGCTGGTAACAGAGGCCGACCTCGACGCAGCCAAGAACCGACGAATCCGCTGGCTCTCCCAGATCTGCGAATACTGGCCCCTCCGCCGTCTCGCGAATATAACAGACGCAGACGTAGAATCAGTGCTGAAATTATCCGCTTCGAATCCTTCCACATCTGCCACACCTGATACCACCAACCTCGATAGCAGAACAGAAAAGAAAGGCAGGATAATACTAGCAGGCAGCGGGCCAGGCCACCCCGATCTCCTAACACGAGCAACACACAAAGCGATATTGACAGCGGATATAATATTGGCAGATAAACTCGTTCCCTCCGGTGTCCTGGACCTCATCCCCCGCCGCACTCCCGTGCACATCGCGCGAAAGTTCCCAGGTAACGCAGAGCTAGCACAAGAAGAGCTGCTCTCGCTCGGCCTCGCCGGTCTCAAGGCAGGGAAAACCGTGCTCCGCCTAAAGCAAGGCGATCCCTACATCTACGGCCGAGGAGGAGAGGAGTTTGAGTTCTTTAGGAGGGAGGGATACGGAGACGTGGTTAGCGTGCTGCCGGGGATTACCAGTGCGTTGAGCGCGCCGCTGTTTGCGGGTATTCCGGCTACGCAGAGGGGGGTCAGTGATCAAGTGTTGATCTGTACTGGGACGGGGAGGAAAGGGAAGCCTACTGTGCCGCCTGAGTATGTGGATACGAGGACGGTGGTTTTCTTGATGGCTTTGCATCGTATAACGGGGCTGGTAGCAGATTTGACAAGTTGGGAGTCGGAGGATGCAAAAGTCCTGGATGGAAGTGTGGAGGTTGATAGGAGTAGGAGACTTTGGCCGAAAAAGACGCCGTGTGCGGTTGTTGAGAGGGCGAGTTGTCCTGATCAGAGGGTGATTAGGACGACGTTGGAGTTTGTGGGGGCTGCGATTGAGGAGGAGGGAAGTAGACCGCCGGGATTACTCGTCCTTGGTAATGCGTGCGAGGTTTTGAATAAGCCTGATAAGGGGAGGAAGTGGGTTGTTGAGGAGGGGTTTAAGGGGTTTGGTGATTTCGAGGGGATGGGATTGGAGTTTGTTCTGGGAGGGAAGGAGGAGAGAGATCGGGTGTGATTGTAAGGGGTGGTAGTCACGGACAGGAGTTAGAAGTGTGATGTTGTGTACGAATTGTTGCATTTCCGGTAGCGTTGCATAGCTGGGTATAGACAAACATTCATCCTTCCCAACTCCCTATCCATGCATCCGTCCCTTATTCCCATACGCTGATCCCATCTCACCCCAAGAACCCTTCTAATGATCACCTCATGTAGCAGCAACACTCATCCTCAACTGCCTCTGCCTCTGCTGACTCTGCAACGTTAACCGCTCAACCGCATACCCCAGCCTCTCCTTCTTCTGCCTCAGCGATTTCAACCTCAGTGCCCTCTCCTCCTGCTCCCGTCCTCCACCCGTTCCATTCGGCGTCCCCGCCCTCCTGACCAACCGCTCCAGACTCCTCTGTCTCCTCACCCCGCCACCTTTATCCTTGCCCTCTAACCTTCCTTCTAACAACTCTGATCGCGCAGCGAGGTTATTTTGTTTCCGCTCTAGCTTCGCGATGTATTGCTCACTGCGCTGCAAGAGAGTGGTTATTGCGGGGGCGAGCTCGGATGCGAGGCTTGCTTGTGCGGAGGAGAGGGTGGAGGAGGGCGTGAGTTCGAAATGCTATGGGCGGGTTATTAGCCCAGCTCGCTCTGCCTTGGGGATAAGGCAGATTGGAGGTTGGATGGGGGTTTGTGACGGGAGAGACGTACCCGTGTCGAAGATAGCACTTTCTTCAGACGCGGAAAATCAGAGATCCCAGAGTCGAGGATTGAGATTGAGGAGTCGAGGAGGGAGAGTGAGCTGCGGAGGGAGGTGACGGATGCACGGAGGGAGGCGAGGGATTGCGAGGTTGTCATTTTGGTTGACTGTGTGTGCAGCGTGGTGCTGCGATGGGATTGGGGTTGTGAAGGATGTTTTTGTTGTGTTGTCGCGTTGGCTGCAATGTCATTACTTTGGTCGACGCGATTTTGGTGTTGGCTTCTGCACGTGACCAGGAGGCCCTCTGGACCTCACACTGCTTTCCTTCCTTCATCTTTCGCCAACACGGGTTTCGTGATGTTTTATGATCTTCGCTCGAACTTTAGATGAGAGGGACTGTATAGTTCAATTGCCATGGATTTCTCCCTCCCAGTGTGTCAAATGATTAGATTAGATTAGATTAATGGCCATTAATCTAATCTATTCACGAAAAAAACTCATTAATTGTGACGGCTGGTGTCACATGGTTGGTTTCAGCCAAAGGGGTTGGTTTCAGCTAAGGTTCCAAGCTATGGTTCAAACCAAGCTCGCTTCCAAAGCTCGGCGTTTCAGTGGTCTTGGCCATACCTACTTATCCACTGCCACACCTCACTCCTTCTCTCCTTAGCTTTAGATTCTGTAGGACATTGGAAATCATTGATCTTTGAGCATCGTTCCATTGCTTTGTTCCTGCCGTCACATTAATCATATTCTATTCAAGTATTAATTAGATTAATCATAATTAATCTGATTAATCTGATTAGTCTGCACGTGACCCTAACACGTGATGGCACTAGCCGAATCTGGTAACGCTCCTGCCCGCTCTGGCTCTAGCGCTACGCTAATTTGGGGCAGTAACGCTTAGTAAGCGAGCCGAAGCCAAATAATAAAAGAGGGAATATAGAGATTCCGAGGAGAATAACTAGTTTATTATTATTAAAAGTTAGTATTTAGCTACTATTATATAAGCCCTAGCTTAGTTTAACTGGGGCTACTTAATAGATACCTTAGTTGTTCAATAATTATTAAGTAAACGTTAATTTACTATAGTCACGTGACAGATTAATCTGATTAATTATTCTAATCTAATCAAAAAAAATCTGAATTACGTTAATCATATTCTAATCTAATCTAATCATGATTAATCTGATTAATCTGATTAATGTGATTAATTCTTTGACACACTGCTCCCTCCGAAATCCATCATTTCATGACATAAGTTGACAGCTGGGGAGGTTGCATTCTATTTCTGGGTTTGCAAATGCCGAACGAAGACTTTGACCATGTGTGAAAAGTAGATAGGGAAAACAAAAATAGCCACCTAACAAAGCTTCTGGTACTGTGGAAATGAATATCTGTATATGTCATGTCAATTTATTTCAACTACCTATTATATTTGAGTACGCCAAATTAATGCTCTAATGCAACCAAAGGCAAGCCCTCAGATCCCAAAGTCAACCCAGACTCCTTTTCATTGATATTTACAAAAGGATAACAGCTAATATTAAAGAACATGCCATCAATCCACTCGCGAACTTCACCCCGTTTGCCGAATTCGGCGTTTTTGTCTGCGTATCACTGGGTGATGCGCTCGTTTGCGTTCCAGATGCGGATCCGCTTTTCCCGGTACCTGTCACGATTGCTGTTGGAGTTGACACCGCCCCCGAGCTGGAAGTTGACACTACCACCGAGCTCGATCGCTTGGCCGATCCCCCTGTCGAGCTCGGGATTGCTGCCAGCGCCGTGCCAAGTGCCAAGCCCCAATCAGGCGCCGCAGGACCAGCAGGAGCATTAACCCACAAATCAATCACACATTGAATTGTCATCTTCTGGTCCACCCATTTTGTGCCTGTCAGAGTTGGCGCAAGGTCTAGAATATAGTCAGAGGTAACGCTGCCTGCCGTCCATGCGATATATCCAAGATAGACGTCAGAGTTGGCGTTTATGGCTGTGTTTTGGGCACAGAAGTCCACGAAGCACTAGAATATAACTTAGTACTTGCGTGTGAATAAAGACGGACTTTCTTACAGATTCAGAAGTCACACCAACACCGGTCTCACTGAGGATCGCTTGCCGTTTGTTCTTTCGGAGCCAAGCGGCGACTGGTTCGAAGGTATCCGCTACATTATCCATCACACAGTCGGGGTGATCGCCCGAGTTATCAACGTCTTCATACTTGTGTAGGTCGAGGACTAAATTCGTCGTAGATGCGTCTGGATTCGTGACAGTAGCTAGAGCTGCCCCCCATCCACTGGTAAGAAAAGTACCGGCGCTAGAGAAGTTCTCTCCAGGCAAGAGAACTATGTGCAAAACTTTTTCAGCTTTGCGAATTGCTGCCACAGCTGCTTGGCAGCTAGCAACCCAAGCGGTGAGATCGATATCGTGAGGCTCATTCATTAATTCGAATATAACGAATGGGTTACTGGCGTAATTGGTGGCCAATTGGGTCCAGAGATCTGCAAATTGTTCGTCCGTCGGTCCACCTTGCCCTATAATACCTCCGTTCCACCGCGCAAAGTTATGGATATCGATGACACAGTACGCCCCCGTCTTAAGACAAGCTTGCATAAGTAGATCATAATTGCCAAAGTTCGTTTTGTCGAGAGGTCCGATGACATTATTAGTAAGATATTGCCATGAGACAGCTATACTCAAGTCAGATCAGGTGGGAGTCCAGAGAGCGACACGTACGTAGACGAAAAACGTTCATCCCGTCGTCCTTAACAAAATGATCCATTTGACCAGCTCCATCTCCGAAGCCCAAACTCTTCAACGGTGGTTGGATAGTGTCGAGTGGGCAGGTTCCCTAAGTTTAGTCAGCTGGATCATCCCAATATGGAAAACCCGTGGAAACTTACAGTAATTTCACAGCCAAATTCGAATCCTGCAATGTTCATGCCCTGCACGGAAGTTTGTCAGCTCACGTGAAAATACTTGGAATCGACCCTACGAACATAGAGTTGTGTCTTCCCAAAGACCGCCTGAACCACCCCCAGGATTACAAGCGACGGAAGAAACATCAGTGACTGCTGTGCAAACGAGTGTTCAAATCAAAACTTGTTGGACAAGAAGAAGGCACGAGGATCTGAATTGTTGTCCGCAGGGCTTCGTACAGTATTAGTGTGTCGTTCTGATGTGAGACAACAGCCTCGCCACCCAGCCCGCGGTCACACTTCCGCCCAGCCACTTGATCGCTCAGCCCCGCCCAGCCGTCAACGCTTAACCCAACTGGGCTGCCATCTGCAGGATGTTTGTTGGCGGCTGTCCGCGAAAACAAGTCACAACAAGGACTCCTACTCCCTCAGCTTCCAGCCCCTAGGGGATCGCTGACTTCGCGGCCCCAGTTCAATCATGCCACTTGGAATACGGAATCAAGCACGATATGGAGAGGTTGTTGATTGAGTCTTTTCGCTTCATGCCGAATTCTTGCAATTTTGAGTACGAAGGTAGCGTGAACACCGAGCTGAAAATGCCAATAGCGTGCGGCACGGGATCTCAGGAGGCGTTGGATGTTTCAACGAGTGGAAATAAGGGCGCATACTCGGGGAGGCGAACGAATAATGGGAAGAGAATAAAATGGGGAAATTTAAATCTCAGTCATGTTTTTGATAAACTTAGGTCGAAGTCTACTTAAAGCACCCGCTTTTCGGAATTACTGACCAACCAGACAGTACTCAGGTCCAAGGATTGCGGCCTTAGTCATCCACCCCCCAAAATCCGAGGCCATCCTGCCCCTTCGTTACGTTCACACCTCACAAACTCCAGGAGGAGTTAATGGCTACCTACACTCTCTGGTCCGCTACGCTAGCTATCCAAAACTCCCTCTCTTTCTTAAAGGCTTGCGCATAACAATATTATGAGTGAAGCGTCTAGTCAGTCATACTCCTATTCGGTTGACTCAGATCTTTGGATTTATCAAAACATGACTTAGATTTAAATTGCTGGAGCAAAATCTCGTCGGAAACAGAAGCAGGCCCCCTTGAATACACACGCGAACAGCATAATATTAAGCCATAGAAGAATATTTAACACGTTGGACATGGATGAGGTTGAGAACAGTTACCCCGCCGAACAAGGTTCATCAGAACTCCGGGAGGGTTTTGTTGATGAATACCATCGCTCTCCCACGGCCATCGGAAGACGACAGCCTGGATTCATTGATGGGGTAGAGCTTGTAGGAGAATGAATGGAAAGGCCTTCAGTCCCAGTCAGAACCTCGAAATTAGCGAACAGATGCAGAAAACGGCCCCCAATCCAGAACAGCTCCATGTGCAGCCACTCAAACTTTTATTTCCCACTAGCGACGTGCACCTCCACTTTGCCAGTCCCCGTATTTTGGTACTTGATATACGTCAGATCCAACACTCCATCCTTATTGAAATCGATCAAGCTCCAAACCCCATTGGTCTCCTGCACAAACGTGCTTCCACTCGCAAAGATTTTATTATGATAGCCACTCGCCTGGCTGGCAACATGAACCTCCGTCTGCCCAGTTCCCGTATTCGCATCTTTGATAAACACCAGATCGGCGGTATTCCATCCCGAATAGGGCGCCAATTGCCAGAAACCATCGGTCTCGGGCGCGAATGTTGTGCCGGTGTGCAAGACCCAGTTTCTGTATGATGGCCCTGCAGCGACATGCACCTCGACGGAGTTTGTGCCAGTTGCGGAAGTCTTGATGTATACCAGATCAAGGACTCCATCAGCATTGTAATCGTACAGCTTCCAGATGCCGTTATCCTCCTCCCCGAACACGGTGCCAGTCTCTTGGGTTCGCAGCTTGTAACCCGAAGCACCTGAGGCGATGTGGACTTCGACCGAGTGAGTGGCTGCGTTAGAAGTCCTGATGAATGCTAGATCGGGGAGGGTGCCGCTCTTAGCTGGAGCGAGAAGCCAAGTGCCGTCGTTTTCGAGGTCAAATGTGGTGCCAGATTCCCAGATGCGAGTCTGAAAGTTGGACTTTCTGGAGGCGATATGAACTTCAACTGTTCCGGTTCCAGTGTTACTCGTCTTGATGTACGCAAGGCCTGGATAGCCGTCTCCATCGGCGCTGCAACGCATTGTCAATCGAAAGTCAGGAACGGAGGGTTAAAAAGTAGTAGTCTGTGACAAGATACTTAGGAACAGATTTAAATTGCAAGAATTCAAGTAAACCCCACACACTCAATCAATTGCCACACTCCATTGTTCTCCTCACCAAATGTAGTACCAGTATCAAGGATTCTTGTCATATACGGAGTTGCACGAACGCTGAGCTCCTTGGGATGCAAGACGGCAGCAAAAAGGGGAGAGGCGAGAAGCGACAGGCATCCCATGCATGAAGGGGTCTTTGAGGTGAAAATCATCTTGCAGAAAACTTAGATTGTCGATCAGAAATCCAGAATGCAACAACAATGAAGTGGATTGATATTGGATGGATGGGGAGATATCGGAGCGGAGAGAACTTTTACACATCGAAAAGCCTCGAGTTATTTCGCGTTACTGAAGGCATATCAGATGACAAATAAATTCTTGAATGAGCGTAATAACGCGAAATTATTGAAAAGAACCATCTACTACTACGTAGGACTAAGGTGTCGCAACTTCTAATGTTGATGCACTCGGTTCTAGAATTTCCACGCAAGGTCCAAGTAACCATGTGGTTGGAGAGTGGCTAGCTAATACAAAACCGTGTTGCCTGTAAGACAGGCTTTGTACAAGCTAATGTGCACAATACTAGAGATCTTCGTGACACTTCAAGTTCAACAGCCTCACCGCATGGTAGCGCAATAAAGTGTGACACGGAGGTTGTACCTTCGGCCGTTCCGAATAATGAAGCAACAAACTTGTGCGACCGCCCTTTTCAACGCCAAATGCCAAGTAAACTAGAGATACTGCATTCAGCAAGAGAGAGAAGATTGCCCATAGTATACATTAGATGTGTGGTCACGCGCGAGGAGGCTTCGTTGGGCAATCAGCAATGGACATTAAGTTATCACGAAGTGTTTTGCGAGACGATCTTGTACTAGTTGAAAGAGCTACTTAAGGAGTCCAGATAGCTTTTGTGTAATATTAACTGCCGGAAAGTATATTGGATTTTGTTTACTGGAAGGACAGTACGATTCAAACTTCGATTGCGTGTTTGGGGATACGAACAACGAAATCCTCGACTTGTTTCCGAGTTTTGTTTGATCTCCGGAGGGTTATTTGACAACATATCTCCTCAGATTATCATTCATCAAAACACTTCCCCACTTGAGGAGAAGGGGTAGAGTAAATCTACTCGAAACGTTCTCCAACTTACACCACATTCATCTCTCATCAGGGAGACAACCGCGATTTTATTGAATCAACTTCTATTCTTGACAGCAAGTGTCTCCCAATTTGCCATTGCCAACATGGACTGTCTGCCCTCCATCCATGCGACATCGAGAACTCATTCGGAATACTCTGAGACATTCTAGAAACGGTATTATACTATTATGTATCCTCACAAACAGGAAAAGAAAAGCAATACAGAATAATTATGCAACTTATCTTGTATATAAGGAGATGTCAATGCCTAGGAAGCTGTTGAATATTTGAAGTTCTTGTGGTAGAGTAAGTGACTAGCTAGCCACCCACAGTGTTGCTCTCCTAGTTTGCTTCACTAAGCACCCACTGTATACTCTTTGCAAATGAATGTTAGGCTCAAAATTCAAGAACTCTTACCCAAACTATAAATACTGCTTACCAGAGGACCGAGATGTTATTTCTCAAGGCTAATAGAACTGTTGAGCAGGCCTTTATTGCATTGTTTTTAATGCGATAGGCGTCGTGAACCATGGTTGTGAAGACACCTTTGAGCCAACGAACGCGTGACATTACGCAAACTTCAAGATCAGAGTTCCTTCTCATCTCTTAAAGCTATACTGCACATACTGATAGAGTTTAACCACTCTCACCGCACGTTTCCTCTCGCTACATCCGTGCCTCGGGCGCTGCCCCCTGCAGCTATCCGTTATACTTGTACTATATAATCGGTCCGATACAATAACGGCAAAATGAAAGAATGCTTACTATAATACTAATTAATATAAATAGTATTATTCGGAACTAGTATATATTCTTATAGTAATTAATGCTCAGTCCTCCGATTTTTAATATATTTAATATTAGGTGTCACAGTTGTGTATCACGTGCGCGGTTAGTCACGTGATGCGCACTGTGCTCTCATATAGTAGAATAGCTAATAAGGCTTCCAACCTTATTATTGTACCTTTTGGTCTGTTCACCCACGCGGTAAAGCTATTTCCCTGCGTGCGCGTCCATTCGTCTAAGCGACTCGTGACATTAGGAGCATTATAAAGCACGTAATTATTTTTATATAAGCTCATTTAGAAATTTTCGTATTTCATATAGTGTAAAATCACACATTGCATAATATACGAGGTTATATATAATTAAAATTATAAATTTTTAATACTCTATATTGTTACATAGCAACTTCAGGCTAGTCACATGTGCTTGGATCACGTGACTACACACACTATATTTAGCTCCGGCTACCCACTTCCTTCGACATCTAAATATATTACAATACAACAGCATTTAATGCAACATATATTCTCTTTAGTAATACTCTAAAAATTTGAGCATTTACTATATATAATAAGCTTATAAAAGCTTAAAGGGCCTTATAAGTCTAAGTTTTAATATATTATTTATTTAGGGATATATAATATTCCCAAAATATTTTCGTGTTTTATATAATTAAAAATTAAAAAAGTATAAATTATTTATAAACTTTAAAATTTGAATACTAATTACTTACAACTCTTATTAAAAATCAGGTTAATATATTTTATTCGTATGATTATACTTTATAATTGCATTACTTAGAATAAAAACAATTTAGGTCATAGTTAAAAAGTTATTATGCGCGTAAAAGGCAGACTGTTTTGTCGGTTGTTTGGGACTGCCTGTAATTACTTCCCGGACTGCTCCCAACTCCACGATAAATCCTCGCCATCCATTTCTCGATAAAGCCTTGTCAGAATTATTGTAAGCTGTAACATACGCAATTACAATCTGAGTGCTATTACACAGAAGATGTTGCGTAGTGTTGCGTAGTACACATAGAGGGTATCGTTTTGTTGGCCACCCAGCACTGTAGTGGTTGGTCAGCTTCTAAATCTTATGGATTTGTGCCCACTTGCCCCCAAGGAGAGAACCCGAGAAAACCGATGCGACTGCTCTGTCATCCACCTCGCACCCAGAGTCACAATCCGGACAAACCCGTTATAAAATTCCATGTCAGCCCTATGTCTCATGACTGAACAAAATTCGGAGATGCCCGCCTACAAGCATGATTGGCGAAGGAAGGCATGCTTTGCGGCTTACATGCCTCGTGTTCAGTGGCGACATTCACGATGCACCAAAATAGCCTTGATCAACATCACTGCGGCGCACAAATCTCGTGTTCAACGTTCAATGTTTACTGATCCATCTCGCAGAAGATGGTATAAAGATGTAAAGTAAGTACAATCTGAGAGAGTGTCAATCAAACCACACAGCAAGTCAACCAAACCCACTCCAATAATCAGAATGCGTTTCTCATCCTCATCATCTGCCCTTTTCCTCTCGACGCTTATTTCCTCCGCCGCCGCCATCATCACAGGCGTCACCGCACCCTCAACCGTCTACGCCTACAATCCCTTCACCGTCACCCTCACCACCGCCAATTATATACAATCTGTCTACGATGTTGCCGTAGCATTTGGTGTTGCGCCAGGAGCTGGCTTCCCCGATTCTCTGGGCAATGTCATGTCATCCGCCTTTCTTGGTCCTTCCAAGTCCAACATATTGACTCCGATCGCATTTGATGTCACACTCCCGGCAGGCACAGGGAATGGAGAGCATATGCTCACGGCTGCTGTTTATAGTTTGTTTGGTGCAGGCTATGCACCAACTGTGACACAGTTTAACACCACGGTCATTGTCGCTGGGTTCTAGAGCATTCAAGGTCTAGCGTGAAGGCATATGACCAAAGAGAAGACTGAAAAATTTGTCAGATTAGCATTACGTCGGAGTTTAACATGGTTTTGGGAGGTAAAATTCAAAATACAACATTTAACTATTGCAGTTCAAGCCACTAGTATACGTGAGAAGTACAATTCAAATATAACTAATGTCGAACCTCAAATGACATTCTTGTCATTCCGAGCTCACAGATATTAGAGAAATGTTATCATGGCATTCTATAGTCAGAGCTTTCAAGGGTTCTTGGTGAGGTGCAAACCTCCATCATGGGCTCCACAACATCAAATCTTCTAGCACCACATTCTCTGGACTTGGGAAAGCTCAAAAATTTCTCACGCCCTTTTTCATTGAGTTCTTGAGACCTATACAGTACATATTGACGGTGCTTTCGACACTGCTCAAGAGGTTTTGGAGCAGGAGATGAACAGACCGGCCGTGATTGTGCATCCGCTGCAGCAATGGGAATTCTCGATCACTTCGTTTCTTGTCATCAAACTGCCCAATGACTGCCCACAAGAGAATGGGGGGAAGAGGGAAGGAGTTGCGTTGTGAGTGGCTGCCTCGTGACCAAGGAATCGCCAAGTTGGATATGGCTTGCAGCTCCCTCGATGGGAGGATTCTGTGTAACACAGTAACACAAGAAGAAGGAGTTTTTGAGTCTGACACAAAGGAGTACGCCCAAAGGTAGCATTACATATAATTTATGTTTCCTCCTTCCTGGAGGAAAAGGGGCAATGGATCAACCATCCATGAAGTGCTTTTATGTAAGATCGCCTAAGAAGCGAAACCTCGAACCCAAACTATTTGAAGAAAAAAAGCTATTAAAAAGCTTCCACTCCATCTCGGGATGCGCAAGACGCAACTGATTCAATTAGCACATCTCTCTTCACCACTCAGAAGCAGCAGTCGAAGACTCGCCTCGAACTTCAGCAGAATCGCAGTAACGACCTTATAAATCTCCAACTAGCGGATACTCTTCCCAATGTAATTTCTACTCTCATAACCAAACGAAAAGAGTGCATTGTCCATCCTTTCCCGCTCCACCTAACTACCTCTCAGGTCGAAATTCCTCCGCCCTCTGTTCAAACATTACTCCCTTCGCGTGAAGCGCCCAAGCCGAAGCACCAATTATCGTCCTTCCTAGTGTGAGATACTCGTTGACTTCTAAACCGGAAGCCGGCACCGTGTCCTCCAGATAGATACCGACCGCAGGAAGGAGGCAGAGTGCTTGGTTGACAACAGTAGTGAGATGCTGTAGCTCGCGGGCTGTGGCCTAAGATGCAACTCCATTTTTCCAATCCTTTGGGAGGGAGGGGGCCAAGTTCTTCCCTCAAGAGGGTCATTGTGTGTAGTTTCCCTAAGAGGTATGAGAAGATAGCGCAGATATCGATTGCGGTGCTGTCCGAGCCCGCTTGAGATTGTGACAGCGAGGATTTGGCGATCGTTCATGAAGATGGGGCCTGTCTTTCTTTGCCTCTTGCTGGAAGCGAGCGAGAAAGTCTAGTGGTTGGTATGTGTGAGGGGAGCTTCTTGCTTCTCGGAAAGGTCTCGTGGGTTTACTCGTTACTGGCAAATATAGCGACTGGAGACGTGGAATTGGAAATTAGACTGTGATCACGAAGCCATAGCAGCAGAGTGTTCTTCTTCCAGAGGAGGTCAAGCAACGATATTTGGCCAACTTAATTATGTTAGTCATGTTCCAAATCAGAGTAGTTGAAGAATTCCTACCACAACAAAATACGCAAAAGCTTCTTCTAACTTCTGTATAATTCCCTCAATATCAACGCCTTTTCCCACGAAGCCAAGTCTTTTTGACAAGGTAAGTTCACTTATGACATCAAAAGTGAAGAAGTGTATCCATTCTCCGAAGCGGCAGATACCCCCAGGATCAGTCTTGTCTGCGAACTGATGTTAGAGGGTGTCGAAGAATGCCATGATTGTTGAGCGTATGAAAAGCTCGAAGTTCACCAAAGTGCTCATCAAGTGTATGCTAGCTCCAGCTCGTCGTCGCTGGGCGTGGGTAAACTCTGTCGGCGGTGCTGAAAACGTTCAGGAGCCTCTTCCCATGGGAAATGGGTTGTTGCACCGGGTGCTGCCTGATTTCACAGTCAGTCAGCATTGCAATCTTAACTTGATAGCAAGATTACCTTGAAGTTGCTAAAGTTGGGGAAGAAGATCTTCTTGACTGTCTCCAAGTCTGTGTGGACACGAAATTCGATCCCATCCGAACCACGCCTCCGTATTTCTTGTGCAGCCTCTTGTGTACGACTTCAGGATGTCTCCCCAAGGTGACGAAGAGCTCCGTGGATTTGTGCATGAAGCCAGCCAAGGGCCAGGAATGTCGTTTAAGTCTTGACATAATTTTTTGTCGGTGGTTGGAAATTTGTATTTAGAGCCCATGGTGTTGAGAACCTTGAACCTGTGTTGTCGTAGAGAATTGACTGGCGTGTCTATCAGCCGGACCTCGGCGAATTAGCATTACTCTCTTCTCAAGGGAGATGGAACTTGGGAGAGAATTCCCCCTTTGTCTATGTCAAAATGCAGAAATGCAGCTTTGTAGTATTTGATCCGATTGAAAGCTTGAAATGTAGTTCTGGAGCCTTTCCACTTTGCATGAAGTGCAGGGAACAGTTGCTGCTCAGGCTCAACCATTTCACTCGCGAAAAACAGTGTACAGAGGCTAAATTAGCACACTATATCCCGAGATGCTGCCACCTGATCATGTAAATACCAGATTCGCTCTTACTCTCAAAATTCCATCTGTACGTCCTTTTATGCACTTCACCTCAAGTCCTCTCTCCCACGCGTCCTGTGGTATATGCTTATTCCCAGAAGCCTTCTCGTTCTCGATCCCAATGATCCACTCCGCCACTTGTGCTGCTTGTAGACTATCCCAGACTCCGTTCTAGCTCGGCCGCTACCTGAGGATAACAGCCGCTTCTCGGCGTATGGAAGGACCTCTGCACCTTGTTGCCTTGCAGTATAGTGCCATTGCCAAACCCCATCCAAATTGTGACTTCAGTTAGTCGACTTGGTTGCTTTCTTCATCGATCTCAAAACAGTCGTCTGCCTAAAACCATGATTCTTCGAAATTGCTCGTTATAGTGATCAAAGATATTTTCTTACCTCGATAAGTTTGTAGACAAGAGGATTTTAAAGCCGACGGCGCAAGTATGGAGTTGGAGGATACCAAGGTAGTCTCAATTATGTTGACCAGTTTCCGTTTCCAGGAGAAAAGGCTGGAACGCTTTTTTCCATTGATGGACATAATCACAAAGGTATTCTTGTTGCATTCCAAGATCTTCTTGATGGGATTTGAGGTTCAAGGCAAGAGATGCTTGTCTAGAATGGCGAATATCGCACCCTGCTAGAGTCAGCCCAAATGGAAATGCTTCGGCGAGGGTGCAAACCGAATCGGGAGATCATTTCTAATTTCCACATCTTGCAGTTTCGTAAGTGGGTGATCGGTCTTTGGGTTCACGGCTAGCCGGAACTCCAATTGTGGTTGTAGGCGTGCCAAAGCTACACTCAGCTCTGGGTCGATGTTTGCTACGGTCGGAGTCTGCTTCCCCTTGAGCTTGCTCCTCTCCCATTGTTCCAAAAGGCTCAGTCCACTGTTCATCTGCTGTGCCACCGTTTCCCAGCGGCCAAGAAAGTGTCCGAAGTAGCCAAGGTCAGGCTTGCCATTAGAGCGAGTCGCACTCTGGGTTCTACGGAAAGTCTCTTCCGGACAGAGGCAGTCGCCTTGCTGTGTTGCACCAACGCGAAGTCGAGATGTTCGTAGGGTGGTCGTATCGTACCGTTTCTCGCAGCCCCACATAGCGCAGTGAGAGTAAAGATTGCATGTCTGACGAATGGTTCGTTGCGATATTCCTGTGGAATTGGGTGTGTCCTACGCAACAAATTAGCATTGCAAAATCGAGCATTTCCTGAAGCAGCCGGCTGCTTTCTACGGTCTTCGCTCCTGAACACAGAGAGTAGATGTTCTTCAGTAGTCTCCAGACAGTTCCTACGCTCCCATCTCCCATGGAGGAGAAGACAAGCTTAGTAAAATACGAAACTCACCGAAAAGGCGTCTCCAAATACTCGCACGGATCATAGGAAAGCTTCTCTCGAAACAATTGAAAGTAGTGCTTCTCGGACTCGACGCCAGGGATGGGAGAAGGAGTGCGACTGGTACTTAGTTTTGAGAGTCGATGTTTTATAGGGATAAAGGAGGCGCAGAGGGGATTGGATATGGAGACGGAGGTTCGGCCTTGCGAGGTATATTGACTACCAGTGTCCAGCCTCTTGGATCGATTACACTCTGGTTCGTTCTCATCGTTCTTGAAATTTTCGAGTCCTGGCAAGACGGCTAGGACAAAAAGCGACCTGTTTCAACAAACAAGGCCTACTTGCAGACCAGCAGCCGGTTCGAACTTTGGGTTTCCCCACAAGGCATTTCTTGGCAGGGATTTCCATCAGAAGGGTCGCCAATCAACAACGCACGCTCAGAGGCATTACCTAGAGGCGGTGATAGCTGCAATTACCGGGGTGGGCCAGGATTATATCTGTGGGTAATGGAAGAGGGGAGGACTACAAGAGGAGAAGGGTTGCCATCATTGCTCTGAGTCAGCATTATGCATTGTGGATCATCATCCTTTAGGCCTAACGCAGACCTTGTTTTGCAGACCTACGTACATTTTGCCCCGCCCCCGTTGCTCTCCATATCTAGGCTACTGAGTATCCCTAGGTACATCTTGTCTGCGTGCCATCAATATCCCAGCTTCGCGTCCTCGCATTGTTTTCTCTGCTTCCGATCAGGAACTTTTGTGTTGATGACATCCTGACCCGAAAGCCGAACCAACTTAAACTCGAAGTATTTACCTCCCTTAGTGTTCTCTCTCACAGTGCTCTCGGCAGCTTTATACAGTCCGTCGTAACGGAAACCGCAAGAAGGAGCACCGTGCCATTGACCAGCGCCTCGAATGACTCTGATGGGTTGCTTCGTCTCAACACTTCTGAGCAACGCCTTGGTGCCTTTCTTCTCCATCTCTGGCGCCTTTGATGTTGTTTCCTCAGCTCCTGACTCCGTGTACAACAACACATTTCCTTGATCCTTGTCCATGCTACAGCCTGAAGCCACTACCGAGAAGGCACCGTTGATTGAATCTCCCGAAATACCTGCGATTCGCTCTCCTATTGCAAACACCTCAGTCAGCGTCTTCTTAGAGAAAAGGAGGTTGAATACTAACCATGAACGCCGTCCCGGTGGGCCGCAATTCGAAGGATCCAGAAATCTCCAACGGACAGACCATTATCACCGTAAATTCTGAACTCTCTGCTGTTGTATCCATCCGCAACTTTATAGGATGGTCCGTTCTCAGCAAGATATCGGAAAATATGATGTAGGGGACCGTTCGTTCCATAGATAGGGTGGGATGTGGGGGCTGGGCGCGTGACTTTGATTTGTGTTGAATCACCCTTTGGACGCTTGGTGGATTTGGACTTTTGCTCCGAGTCGTTGGATCTCTTCTTGCCCTTTGAGTCGGCCATTCCTTGGTCCTCAGCACCCCACTTCTGGAGTTCAAATTTATCAAACAAGTGTTTCGCAACTTGCTGGTATTCGACAGGGAAGTGGTTGTTGGGGTTTTGTATCATATTAAGTGTGCCCTTCAAGTGGAAAGACTCCAGTTGACTCCGGTTTTGTTAGCAGCTGGATTAGTCTCTGGTTGAAAGGAGGAGTACATACTTGTAGTCCGGCGTGACAGCAACCATGTGACCGACTCCCCAAAGAAACTTATCCAATCGAACCCGATCTTCTGTCTCCGCCAAATCTGTCATACTCTTCTTTCTTAACCTAAGAGTTATGCCAATCGCCTTCGCGCCGCCCTTCAACTTAGCCAGGCCTTCGCGACTAGTGATAGCATCCGTAGCCGCGATCTCGGCGCCGACCAACTTCTTGAGAACGTCCTCAAAAGTCTCGGGCTCATTGTTCATCTCTGCCTTGACTGATTGTTCACCTTGGTCTAGCATTGCTGCTGTGATCTTCTGTTGTAGAGGTTCCTCGTCAGCCGCGGCCTTGGAGGGTTTGATGTTCGACATCTTCTCGGTGCTTGAAAGTGAGTGTAACATGTTAGTAACGCGGTTCAATGGAACAGGAAATGTAATGTAGAAGATACCTGTCGCAGTACATACCGATGTGGTTGAGCTTGAGCTCGAGAGTGCTGTTTGTGGTGAGAAAAAAAGTTGTTGTGGGGAGGAACAAGATCGAGACTCGGTGAGCCAGGCCTAGTATTTATACTCCCCAAGCGAGGCCGGAGGCGTCGCTACCGCCTTATCTTTGATTTAAAACATCAGACGAAGCCCGAAGAAGGAGCAGCTCGAGGGTGCCTTCTTGCGGAGAGAGCTGAGGCTCGTCTCGCTTTTTGTCTGCTGCTGATGCTACAGAGAAGCTACGTAGTTCGAAACATTGCTCGTTCGTGGCTTCAAACGCAAAGATACCAGCTCTTCAATTGTCTCTTTATTAATCTGGACACTCAGGAGTTTTCGCTCTTCCATCTCTAGCAAGGAATAGCCAAGACACCAAAATGTATCCTCCTCCCTTGGATATTCAGGAACTCGAGCCTTTCAACGCCCCCCAGGAGCTCGGAATAACTGACAGCCATAGATTATAGATTCCAGTTGCACCTTCATACCGTTGAAGACTCAGGAGCTCGAGCTCTTCAATGCCCCGCAAAGCCTCAGAACAACCAACAACAAAGGCTCTCATTCTTCCGCTGAGTATGAACTACGCGGTATTTGGATATTGAATTGTACGTCAACTACGTTGGACTTAGACACCCCACCTTTTCAATCGTTTATTCAGAAGTCTGACCATTCCAGAGACAGAGCTTTGTGATTGTACTGCGGGCTGCGGGATTTTCAACTGCTACGACCCTACGTTATCCAATATAACCTCGAAGATTCAAGAGCCAGGGCTTCCAATTCTTCCCACACACACCTGAGAAAATAAGGAGGCTCAGCTCCTTACTTGTCTCTCGATACTTTTAACATCCATAAGGCATGGCCCTTTAATCGGCTGTCAACAACCTCGAACTGTGAGAGTCGGAACTTCTCGATCGTCCCTTCATAACTCGGGATATTCTGCAGCTAGAGTTTGTTGATTGTACGCTCACACCTTCTGTTATTACAAGGAAGTCTTGAGGTCTGTATTTTTATTCCATTCTAGACAATACAACTGCGCAAAGAGAGACTGCCTGGGGAGTTGGCCTCATCTTGTTGTTCAACTCCTGCAGGAACTACATAGTCCGAAAGTGTAAATCATGGCTTCCAACAATGAAGACCCAGGTATTCAACAGTCACTCAAACCGTTAAAAATTTGTAATTCTTCTTCTGTGAACTGGCAGAGAAGGTTGACTAAGTTTCATGTCTTTCCAGAGTTTTTGCAATTGCTCGACTTCACAATTTTGCGATTTCAATTTGCAAGACATGCTTCGAAGATTCATTGCCGAATGCACCTAGGCTCCTGCGCTCGAACCTAGTGCACCTATGTTTCAAAGCAAACGCAAAGCTTGAGTTCATTCATCCAAGTGCCTATAGCTGGCCAGGCGCTCCCATATTGCTTTGGTGGTTGTCGTCGACAGTCGGTTGTTACCCCTGCGGCCGCATCGACCGCCCCCCTGAGCGCCTCGTTGTCCGCATTGCTCCTCCCTTCGACATCGAATCACCAAGGTTGTGCCATTGATTCATGGTACCCTCTCTCTGACCCAGTGCTTTATTGACATCTGCTGATCCAGGTTCATCTCCTAGGTCCCTGTTGCCGCATTCCGTCGCGGATCAATGACAGGCTGAATGGAGCAATATATTACCCCACAACACTTCCCGCTATCCCAGTCGTGCAGCGCAACATATAGACCATAAATTTGCGGCGCAGTTTGTTTGGCTTTACCCTTGATTTTGGGCTACATTAGTGCAGAATGGGAAGACTGGAAGATAAAGGGGCTGAAAAAGGGCTTGAGTGCTCAGAAAGGACTGGCAATAAATCTTAATTGCGACCAACCAGTCGGTGAAAAGCCTGGAAGATGGGACTAGTCGATGTTGCAGATAACCTTTGTTTGAATGGGATGACATCGCAGAGTTCTTAAAAATATAATGGCGGGCTATTTTGTGAAAGCAGGAAGCCGTCTGCTTTGTGCTGGCCAAGGTGGAGCTGGAGGAGTAAAGACCCCCAGATACCAAGAACGACAACTCAAATTACTTTTGAAAACTACATTGGTGCAGAAGTTCTGCAGGTTGTTGTCTATTCCACCCCATCGTGTTCAGCCCATACCCTCGCGATGAAGATCCAACTCTTGATTGCAGCACTCTGCTTCCTCAGCGTCATGGCTGCTCCACCACTGGAAATGCCCTTCCATCCTGCGTATGTACTTCTCCAGGTTCCTCTCCCCCATCAATCGCCATTAACAATCTCAGGTATGCCCTAAAACAAATGGGTGTATCGATCACCATACCAAGGACACTGCTCCTTGCAGTTGTTGTTATAGCCACATCAACGACCTGAACCTCAAATGTGTAGTGGGCAGGGAGGCAGAGGGTTGTCCCCTGGGCGAAGTCAGAGGATGGGGATGGAATTTATTTCTCCTAGCTGCTGATAGAAAGTAACGAGTACTCATTGAGGGTGGGATTGTTTTGGCGTAGGATTGAGGGGGTATTGAAGCCGTTGCCAAATGAATGCGGAGTCTTGATGATGTTCTGTACCTCTGTTAGGAGAAACGAATTCTTTGTCGGTACGCATACAAGAGACTTCTACCTACCAAAGCTAGAGGGACCTCAATGGCCCTATATTGCTTGAGAACGATAGCTGTTTCTATGATTTTGTTCTTCCAAGGACTAGAGCAATAAACTGATAGAATGGAAATCCGGGAATCCCGGCGCAAATGTCAAGGGTGTAGCCTTCCAAGGTTCAAGGAATGCTTCCAGGGTGGCAGAAAAAAATATCCCCTTGAAATTCTTGCCTCTCCATTCTCCAGCAGCGAACAAGAAGCGAGTTTTGCTGCAGGCCGAAGCCAAACCCCGCGACAAAGTCAGCAGTAGAAAATACGGCCATGGCCCTCCAAACACCTAGATTATCGCATCGAGATCGCCCGAAGACCAACGAGTTCTTTCACCACTCTCTTGAGCATCCAGAATTCTTTTTCCGGTAACTTTCCTCGCGTTTGCCAAATCCTGTATTAGACACTATTAATATTACCGCCGCACTTTTCTGAATTTATTAGACTAACACAAGGCAGGTATCCGAATTTTCCGTATCCTCACCCCCGTCAAGTCGTTGAACCCCGCCCCGTAGGTTTCTACCTGAAGAACTTCTGCAACTGTCGCCACATGCGACCTGTCTTATTGCATTGAGGGCAAAGAATGGGCTCTTGGCTTCTCTGTTGAGTTGGGCGAGGTAGGAGCAAAAGGGGTCGAAGGGGGTTGGAAAGAGGGAATGGGAGAATAAACTGAAGTATGGAAAGGAGGGGGCGACATTGGCAAAAAAGGAGAGGAGATGAGCCATTTTGTGTCCCGGTTGGAGGACTTATGTTTGAGATGCAGGCATAATGTTGGCGATGAAGAATATAAGGGAGATAGTTACCTTGAGGCAGCAAGTCGATTGGATGCTGGCAAGAGACCACGGGAGTACAAGAGCAATCACAGGATATGGGGAGAAAACGAGACCAGCAGCATTGCTGCGTTCTTGAGTCTCATGGGACAGCACAACCCAGATCTCTCGAGCAAGGGCAACCTGCTGCTTGCGTAGGACGTATGTACTGTAAGCAGTCAATCTTTCGCAATGCTGGCCTTCTCCCAGCCCCTCTCCCAGCAAGCACACCAGGAGCTTCTTGGGATTCAGATGTACCAAAGCCGGCCAACTGTTCTTGGTTTGCGGTTTGCAAGAGAGTCCAGGCGGAAACGAAGGAAACTCGCGAGAAGCAGAAGACTTTTCTCGGATCTTCAAGCTCAATATCCTATCCTTCGTGGTTGTCACCATCTCTAAGTCTGTTAATACGGTGCGTGCCTTTGACCTTGGTGAAGAATACCCCACTACGCCCCCTCCAGTAACCTCTTTCTATGAAGCTTTCTGACTATACATTGCAGAACTAGGAGTTATATCCAGAAGACCTCCGTTCCGCTATTGCAGCATCCGTACAATCCTCCGGGGCGAATACTTTCGGAAATAACTACACGCGAAGATTGGCCAAGGAGCATCTGGTGCTATATTCACAGGACGAGAGAGGATCCAACGGACCCATTACGTTCAAGCAGATGAAATCTGGAGCCGGAATCGACTAAGGAACCTCCGTCTACGATGTCATCGCCTTGAAGGAGAGCTCACATCCGAACATTGTCAAATTCATTGGCAGGTATCCGGTTGGAGGGGAGCTGCAGGTCATTAAATGACCTTGGGGATGTTGGTAATGCTCAAGAGGGTGAGACTTGCCTCTAAGTCCTATAGAGTGCCACGGGTGGTCAAGCAGCATACGGAGGGAGGTATTTTGACGGAATTTGTACATTTCAATATTGTATCAGAGGTTTCAACACTACAGCACATTGAAGTGGTGGACTTCAAACATCCAACTTCAAACGAATGGTTGAGAGACCTTGACAGCAGCCACGAACCTTGCCGAAAATCCCCTTCATCCCGCTTTCGTACCCTCAGACGGGAACAATAATGTTCGTCCAAAGTCCTTCTCTCCCAAGAAATCAAATCGTCCGCTAACATTCAGGGACGAAATTTCTGCTGTCAAACATCAACGATCAAGGACACCAAATCTCGGTGCTATATCCCAGTGACAGGGACTCATCCGGGCTGAAATCGAGCTATTCAGTAATGGAAAGGAAAAGACAGATCCTGGCGGGATAATGGGGCAGGGGCAGGGATGATCCAGCATTGTAGTGTACCATGTTGTCTCAACAACCATGGACAGCAAAAGCTTGCGTCCGGATTGGGTGGCTTATAACGTGTTTCAATACTGCACAGGAAGAAGTTTGGAACTTGCGATTTGCTTCAAAGGTGGTAGATGACGTGATCTGGGCGTGGGTTGTTCTGGGGAGGGAGGGACATTCGTACCTTCCTGCTTTGTTGAATGTGAATGACGATTGGGGTGCCATCAGTCGACTCTTGCAGTATTGTCCCTGCCAAAAATGGGTCATGGATTCACACATGCGAAAATTCACATGAACTTACGGGCCAGGAAGGAGCCGGTCATCGACGCTCGATAAATACCTTGACAAGTTTACAGTTAGGGCGCATTACGGATCAAATCTCTCGATCTTCCACGCCTTACGTCTTGCCGCTAAGATGAGGTGTACATATCTAGACTCCTACCAAGGTAATGCGCATGGACGCTTGAATTGCCGCAGGCCACAGGATTGTAAATTAGTGGCAAAGGGTGGAATAGGTGGCGTTTAACTTCAAGTCTGTCATCGACCGGCTTGATGGCGATGGCACATTTGACAGCAATAGCAAATCGGAACGAGAGCAGACTGCGGCGGAAAGGATCCATTGTAGAGCTATAATATAAGAAGCTCATGGATACATCGTCTCTGAAAAGGGCAGTTCAGCTGGACATTCTCAGTCAGGTACGAAAGGTGATCTTACAATCCAATGTCCCAGGCGGCAAGGACAATAAATCTCGCTTTCCTACCAATGTCAACTTTCTAAGCATTACAAGCATCAGGTACTTTGAGCAGGCACCCAATTTTTCCAAACCCTCATATCCCCCAACATCTTCTGCACCACCCAAGCACCTTCCCTGAAATCGCCCATCCGTCGCCCTTCCCTCCTCACACTCTTAACTCGTACCTTCGGCAGTTCCCTGCCACTGTCTACCCACAACCTCTCGAACCACTCCCCAAGATTCTCCATCACTGTTTTCGCAAATTCGGCCTGGCCTTCTGGACGGAATTTGTACGTAATCGCCGGCTCAAGGAAAGATATTGAATGCGGTTTGTAGTAGAATTTGTCATTCAGGGAATTGACTTCGTCGTCAGGAATGATGTACAGTGCTTTTAAGGGCCGGAGACGAAGGGAATACAGCGAATTACGCAGGTATTCCCACCGCCCTTGCTGGGATCCTATCCAGAGTTTGCGGTCCAGTGCTAAATGTTGAACTTCAGCGAGCTCGAATCCCTCTCCAGAGCTTGTTAAGAATGATTGAAGGTGTTGAGAGTGAAATTCGGGTCCGAGGTAGATTGTATCGCGGGAATAATCAAGGTAGATTTCCACCGGTTGGTGGGGGAAGGCGAGGGGGAAGGCGAAGGAGTCTTGTCGCCAGCGATTGTAAGGTGTGTACGGGTTGTGTGGGTGGTGTCGCCAGGGAACGTAGGTACGGTTGGGGTCCATGACTGCTGTGGAGACACCTATTTTCACACGCTTATAGATGCGGAGGCCTTCTTGACGTGACTCACTGTTGATATGGAGGATCGAGGGGGGGCTATGGGGCGTGACGGTGTATTTCACTGGGGTGTATTGGTTTCGCTGGGTATCTCCCCAGGAGCGAAGCTCAATTACTCGAGGGTGGGCTGCGAATTGCCAGATGCGGAGACGGAGTTCGATTGGGAGTTCAGAGAAGATAGGGAAGTTGGTATGGAATGGTTTCGTCTCGGGACAAGTGGCTGCGGTAGACGTTGGATTTGAAATCCATGTGACTTGGGCGTGGGGATCTGGTTGAGGTGTATAATAGAGGAGCTGCCCTGGTGGAAGTGGAGGAACAGGACCTGTGATCTGTCCAGCCATATAGGGACCCGGAGCAGCCATTGAGCTGCTTTCCTCCTTCCCGTCAGACAAGTCTAACTATTTTAAGGAAAGTAGGTGTCGAAAGTCTCAGGCAATGCTACAACTTGAGAAACAATGTGCTTGAGAGATATTTAGAGGGACAAGGAATTTATATCAAACTCTTTCCAGTCACAAAATACACGTCCGCCTTGGGAACATGCACTCTCACGGCGTGTGGGATGTAACCGCTTGACCTCCCACGCCTTCCGCCATCCATTGGGCGTAAATCCCGGGGCTGTCGGACCCCTCATCCTCAAAGCGCCACTTGGAACTCCGTTCATCGGACTCATCACCAATCTCTATCCCAATTGAGTTCCTGCGGCTCGGAAAGACCCGTATGTGGTGCAAGTGAAGAAGAAGAGGATGATGTGGCGGGGGTGAGGCGAGACAGATGCACCATCGGTGACGAAACGAAGAATTCCCCGACGCAACCATGCCCAATGGATTTCCAGCCTCGCCCGCCTTGCGATTCAACATCACGAGGGCCCCTCAACGAGTGATAATCACGAAATATCTGACCCGCAGCACGGTCGGGAATCGTGGATCGAAGTCTGGGATGTCTGCGAGTACGAGTGGCGTTGCGACGCCTGCAGAAGATGGCGTGGGGTCTGGGCTGAGGAAGTTGAAGATTTTGATGTTGCATGGTGAGTTCCTTCTCTTTCCGGCTCTTCTTTAATCACTTACTCTACCCCTTCTCTCTAATTGTAACAAGAACTAACTCTTAAAAGGCTACACTCAATCCGGCCCCCTCTTCCACGCAAAAACCCGCGCCCTCGAAAAGATCCTCCATAAAGCCTTCCCGCCGAAACCCATCTCCCCCATCTTCTCCTCCTACCCCGGCGGCATCCATCTCCTGTATCCAACCGCACCCCTACGTCTCGTGCCCGCCGATATCCCCGGTTACAACGTCGAAGGTGCCGAAGATGGGGGTATGAAGGAAGAGACAGATGCCTGGGGCTGGTGGAGGCGGGAGACTGGGAGCGCTGTGTATTCTGGGTTAGAAGACGGACTGAGGACTATCAGGACGACGATCGAGGATGCAGGAGGCGTGGATGGGGTAGTTGGGTTTAGTCAGGGCGGGTGTGCTGCTGCTTTTGTTGCCAGTCTTTTGGAACCCGGCCGACAAGATACTTTTGAGCAATATAAGGCGAAAGACTCTTCGGCATTCGGATATCCTGAGGGCTGGGAAGAGTTGCAGAAAATCAACGGGGAGCTTAAGTTTGGTGTTTCGTATTCCGGGTTCTATGCTCCGGATGAAATTTACAAGGGCTTCTTTGAGCCAAAGATAAGGACGAAGTTTTTGAGCGTGATTGGTAGTTTGGATAGCGTGGTTGAGGAGCACAGGAGTAAAGGGTTGGTAGAGCGGACAGAGGGTGCGAGGGTTGTGTTTCATCCTGGGGGACATTTTGTGCCTGTTGGGAAGGATATGGCGAGTGTTGTGGTCGGGTTTGTGAGGGAATGCTGTGTGGTGAAGGATGAGAAGGAAGCGAGTGTGGAAGACATGGATTTGCCGTTTTAATGTACATGTTGATGGCGAGGCAGAGGAGATATATTTACATGGCATGGCATGGCATGGCGTTCAGGATAGACATAAGCATGAGGAAATGTGGCATAGAAGGCAGCAGATGCATTTGATACCTAGAATCTAGACTACTGTACACCGGTATGGTCGGAAGAAAAGAAGACTATTAGAACATTCTCTCCCTCTAATGCACCTTTCCTGGCTTTGTTGCCTTGGGCGATTTTGCAGGTTGGATGCGAGCCATCATTTCTTCCTTTGTGATCAAATGGTCGATTCTTTCAAGCAGACCGAGCAAGCTCTTCATGTTTCCGCTCCACTCATTAAGGACATCATCTGCGTCTCTGGGCTTGGCGAAGCTCACGATTCGGGCAGGTCGGTCGATCTTGGCGTACACGGTCTTCGCTGTTACCAACTCGCTGATGTACTTCTCCGTCTCGTCTTCGGTCAAGTCGAGCAGCTGGGTTAAGCGGGGCATTTGGATGCGAGTGTAGTATTTGGCGACGACACGAACATTGTGCTCAATGACACGCTTGCGGAGATCCTCCCATCGTTGATATGCCTTCTTGTCCGCAGACTGGCCCTTTGCGGCGTCGAACACATCTGTGCTGCAGAGGTGTGGGCCGAAAAGCTTGGCAACTTCTGGCCATCGCATGAGTTCGTGGACAGTGTAGAGTTTGAGGAGTTGGGCGTCGAGAGGGACCTGATTGATTCGAGTGTCTTTTTGTATGCGGTGGAGGAGGTCAGATTGTTCGTTGTCGTATGGGGCGAGGATGACATAGTAGATGATTCTTTGGAGGACCTGGGAAAGTTAGGATAGCATTTGAAGCAGATCGAAATTCTTACCGAGTGAAGCTTCATAGGATCCTCCTCAACAGCTTCAGTGTCCAGAACTTGTCTGTAATGCTTGCATGCATCCAGATACTTGTCGTCATGCTTCGCCAAGGTGATTTGTTGCTCGTAATATCTGAGCTTCAAATCCGTAACATCATCCTCGACCGGCTCCAGAATATCCTCTCCTTTTGCTCTCTTCTTCTCACGCTCCTTCTTCTCCTTCTCTAGTTGTTCACCGGTCTTCTTTGGCTTTCTCGACAGATATTTCGTGCTGATCTTCCGGCTTAAAATACCAGCTTGCGTCCAGTCCTCTTCCTCTATGCAAAGCGCGACTTGTGCCAAGATGAACTCCGTCTTTTCTCTCCGCTCCATAGACCCAAACGTCTCAACCTGCAGCTCGCACAAAATCTCCTTCGCCGCCTTCAAATCGCCTTGTTCCTTCCTGATGTCTGAAAGAATCTTCGTAACACGGGCTCGCTCGACTTCGACGAAAATCTTGCCTTCGGTGACTGTCCGCAATGTCTCGATAGTCGATAATTTCGTCTCCAGCTTCGTCGCCGAATCCAGGAATCCCATCACCACCTGTACCATCTTCGTGATTGCTTGTTTGAGTTGGCCATGCTTCTTGGAGAGTAACAGGACTTGCTCGTTCAGCAGACTCCAATCCCCCGAATCCTTGCTGAGTGTGACTATTGCGACAAGAATTCGAGATGTTGATGCAAGATCTGAGGCCTGGGGATGGTTAACCGATGGAAGGGCTACAGTAAAGGGAGGCGCACTTGTCTGGTCTGCTTCTCCAACGCTGTGAGCTTCTCGATCGCACCTGTGACATTAGTCTGGAGTCTATTAGTTTCATCTTTTCGAGACGTAAAATCGCAGTAGTATACCTGTGCCAGCTGCTCAGCTTCAGGAATCTGTTTGTCAACCTCTTTCGAGAAGTCCTTGTCGGGCTTCAGAACCTGTACTTCGGACATTGCGACGGTGAGATTGAAGAAGAGTGGAAGTATGGTTATGATGAGAGACTAGAGACCACAGAATGGAAGGATAGGCTAAGCGTGGTCGTGTGGATGGGTTTGATGGAGTTACAAGCTTCAGGTTGACATTTTGACGCGGCAAGCTCGAACTTGGCGTGATTTGGTCGCTTCGCTTGCCGTAGTTTCTGCCTTCCCCAGCCCCGCTAGCCCGCCGTAGCCGCCCCAACGCAACTTCAGACGCTCGCTTTATTCGAAAGTATTAGTAGGACTCCATCCGCTCATCTCCTCTACTTCTAAAGTATCGTGATCGAGGAGTTTTTGTTCAAATTCTGCAGAAATTGTGGCGATTTTGGATCATACATGATACAAATACCTTCGAAGAGACTCTGTGATCGAATTCTGCAATTGCCTTGCCGCTGCATTTTCAGCAACCTCTATGGACTTCCTTGGTGTCCACATGGCTCTTCGGACATTCAAGTGGGTGATCCGCTGCCGGCATTTGGCCCCTCTTAACGTCGGGGGTGTTTTCAGTAACCAAGAGTGCATCTTCATTTGGTCGCAAGATTGAGGTGCTGGGGGGTTAGAGCCAGGGCTACCTTTGTGGTGTCAAGGAGCATTTCCTGCGAAATGACGCCCCTTTCCACTGCTTGTCTGGAATCTTATCTCTTCGCAAGCATGCCTTCAGCAAATTGGAATACCACCCACTTACGTAGTGGACGACCCTCCCTCGTCTCGCAATAGATTTCCTGTGCCATCGCATCGGAGAACCTGTATTTGGGTCCGGCTGGTCTTGAAATGAAGCTGCCCCCCCACTTCGTCATGCTGTTTTGTAGCTGATGCACCTGATATCAACCTGCAAAGATTCAAAGTTGAAGGTACGGATTAAGAGAATGAGGCAGTCCCCCTTTTGCCACGAAATCTGCAATGGGCTACCCATTTGTCCAGTTGAAGATTTTTGGCTCTGTTTTGTCCAGTATATAGGTGTTTTGTTGTCCCTCGGTGAAAAAGTTGCTAAATCCAGCCTCGAACACTGGCGAATGGTAGGTGACAAAGTTCTTGCTGGCGGTGAACACTTCTTTCTTTGGACCAACGATGAACCTTACCATTTCCTTTTTGCCACTGTCAAATATTTGTTAGCTTTAAAGACACGAGCCAAGAAGTCCAAATTCGACAGGAGATCAAACTCGGAGCAGCATTCAAGTCATGCTTTAGATTATGCAGGTGAAGAACTCACCAAAAAGCTGGCCCGTCCTGGTGGCCCTGTCGTGCTGTTCCTGGCTCTGTCCTTATCCATTTTCTTTTGCGGGGATTATATTGTTCTGCCTGGTAGTTACTGAGAAGTGATGTCCAAGGTTTAAGTACCGTCGGGCGATTTAGGTATTCGGGTGTTGGTGGTTATGTGAAGGAAGATGGGCGATGGTTTTGGAAAACTTTATGTGCGAGGCACTTAGGCTGCTTAGTCTGGATATCAAAGACTGATTTTTCTGAATAAGTGGAAGGCTCCATTTTATCTTCCTCCATCTCAGTGAGGGCTACGTTCTCCTCTTCCATGGATCCTGAGCAGTGGTTTAAAGGGTCGGTCCTCTGGCTGAGAGCTGACAGCTGCCCTATGAGCGTAATTGTTGACTATATACAGCAGATAATCTGGAATCTCGCAACGAAGTCATAAATGAAGTACTGACGATCCCATCCATGGTAGATAAGGATGGACAAACAGGAAGGGAAGTGAGCCACGAAGCTTATGATACAGTGAAACCTCAATATAAGGATACCAAAATTGTCCCCAAAAACTAAGGATAATGCGAGGTATCCTTATATTGAGGACCACGTGACAGGGTTGCTAAGCTGAGATAGTACTATTTTAGGTTAGAGACTTTTATGCTCAGTAAGATTATGCCCTAAACTTATTCTTTTAAGTTAGTCTTAAGGGGGGAACGTCTTACTTTTCTTACCCGACAAGGAAGCTCTCCCGGTTTACCCAAATTTGAGCTAAATTTCAAAGGTTCTTATCGAGATTTAAGATAATTATAAGGATATCCCATACAAATTCTTAGTCCGGGACTGGAAATCCTAAGGATAATCCCTATAATGAAGTTATCCTTAGCTCAGGGCCAATTTTTATTGGGGTCCTGAGGTAGTATCCTTATGTCGAGGATATCCTTATATTGAGTATCCTTGTAGCGAGGTTTCACTGTAGTTAGAGCGGAGCTACCCCGGATTATCCCCAGGGCGAGGCTGGAACGAAACACTTCAATTCAAGCAGAACCTCACCAGCAAGAACAATCCCCACAACCCTCTGTGAAGCCTCTTGCGACATCGACAACGCCCAATTGAGGGAAACCCAGATCTTCGAACTCGATACATTATCTTCCTGAACCGCACGACTTCGCTTGGAGATCAAACGATCAATCGGGTACTTCACGCGACGAGCGTTCGAAGAACGCGTCGGAACGCCCGGTCGCAACTTCAACGTCCCAACTCTGCACCCAGAACGCGATGTCATCTCCACCTACCACGACCGATAAGAGGAAGAAATCTGGTGATCAAGAGGAGGAAGTGCAGAATGTGGTGAAGAAGGCGAGAAAGACACCGAACCTCGTGTGAGTACAGCACTTTCTCGATACCCCATCTATGTATTCAAAGCTAATCACAAAGCAGGGGTCCGCAGACAATCGTCACCGTCAATGTCAGGAAGCACGCAGGAGCTAAGATCCATCCCTTTCGAATACACAAAAACTACCTATGTCATTACTCCCCATACTTTGAAGCCGCGTTCAACGGAAGGTTCATTGAAGGAGAAACTCAGGTCTTGGAACTTGAAGACACTGAGCCTAGGATTTTCGGCATATTTGTCAATTGGCTGTATGTCCAAAAGATTACCGATGAAGATGGCCAATTAGCATCGTGCTCAGACTGCATCAATTTATGGATTCTAGCCGACAAAATACTCGTGCCTAGCCTCCAAAACTAAGCCCTTATGTCCCTGGAATTCGACCGGAGTTCTGGCTCAAAGAAACATTTTACCAGCGCCATATTCCATCACATATGGGACAATACGACAGAAGAAAGCCTTCTGAGAGCCTACCTGGTAGAAGTCATGGTCAGAAAGCCAAAACGTAGCAACATCGCAACACCGGAACACTATCCCCATGGGATGTTGGTTGCTATCGTCAACGGGCTACGAAAGCGAGAACGGAACCATAAAGTTCGCGATGGTAGCAGTCAAGGCTCGGGGGAAGTTCCGTTTGAAGAGCTGAAGCGCTTTTTCGTTCGCTAGGGCGCAAATAGTCGAAAGGTAGTGTCCGTGCAATGCGGATCCTCTCACGAGTAGCAAATCGGACATAGTGAGTGGGGAACGAGGATTCGAAGGCCAAAGAGTCAATTATGTTGCCGTTGGTTTTGGTATCTCTGAGGTTGGTTGGCTTTGTTGCTGCGAATAGTGTTTCTCCTCAAGATTTCTCCCAATTGGCTCTGATGTTCAAGGAAGCGTCTTAGATCGAAATATAGCTATTTGAAACTTGCAACGTTTGTCGAAAGATCAGCTTCCTGAGTAAACGACAAAAGCTGGGCTAGATTAAAACTATGGTCACGTGTGAGGCGGATCAATTGCCCACCTTGCTGGCTTTGAACATAGTAGATGCAGCAAAAGTAGTATTGATTCTTGGAATTAATCATAAATATTACACAAAAGTGCGCCGCATGGCTGAGAGACAGACCTTGCTACCGCTCACCCCACTCTGAACTGCCACTGCTTCTGTATATTGTTAATATTTCAAGTTGACAAAATCCCAACATCGGTGCTGCCACTAATCATTTCTTCCTTGCCACTACCTCATCGCTACTTATTTGCGCGGAAGTAGCAACCCCACCAACATCATTCCAAGGAGCTTCTTTTGCAGTTTCCTGTCTCCATCGTTCCAGAGGGGTCAGGGGTTCTGCAGGCCCGGCTGAAGATGTAGGAATGCTGTCGCCACGATTTTGAGCTGCAAGTTAGACATATGGCATCGCAAAATTACCATTCTGGGCCGGAAGTGGCGCCAGAACCAAAGCCCTATATTTCCCCGGACCCCATAGCGACTCAGCCATATTACCCTCCTGAAACAAGAGCGGGACACTACGAAAAAACAATCTGTGGCTTACGAAGTCCAACGTTCTGGCTTACGCTAGTATTACTCTTCGTGATACTAGCAGCGGGAATAGGAGGTGGGGTAGGAAGGGGCTTAGCAATTCACAACGCAAAATGGTAAACCAGTCCAATAATATGCCCGTCCATCCAATAGTTAATAACCAGCGTTCGAGTAGCTCTAGTTCGAAGTCCAATTCCGAGTTCGGCTCCGGCTCTAGCCAAGAAACTATCTACATCACAACCACTCGTACTCGAACCATGACCCCGAGCCCCACAGGTACAAGTGACTCCGCAACCTCTGTCCCCACAGACGGATACCTCTACCTCGACTGTCTCTCAATCGACAAAACCAACATCCAAGCCTTCGGACAAACCTACCGCGTAATCTGTGGACAAGACTCCGCTGACCCTGACATTATTGCCATCGTGTCATATAGTCTTCTCGACTGCGCGAAAGCTTGTGCACCGTACAACACCAACTTGCAATCAAACAGATGCATATGTGCGACCCTTCAACTCGTATTTGAGATATGTGGACGCTCACAAGGGGACCTGTTGGTTGAAGAATCAGACTGGATGGCCGGTTGTGAGTGGTTTGACTGGTGTTGATCCAAATACGTATGCTCAGGTGATATTGCAACAGTGAGCAAGTGTGACTGGGTAGATGGCGACCCGAGAAGAGTCCGTGGATCCTTCCATCTGTAATGGGTGGCGCGTATTGCTGCGTGAGCTGGCGGAATGACTTGTGGAAACTACTACGGTCTAATTTGATGTAAAAGTGCGTTTTCGATTGGGTGGAGTATTCGTGGGGTTCTTGCGATCGTTTCAATGTACTGGGTAGTACGTGGAACGCATGTTGAGATAGCCATGTTGTTAGTAGTGAAGAAAAATAAGGTGCGGATAGACATGCTCGGGAGAGCTTGCAATATTGCCAATTTCCTTGTATCAACTTCCTATTCAAGTCTCCTCAGTGTCACAGAACTGAACCTAACCCAGCATTGCTCGGCTGAAGAAAGATCTTTAGAACCGACCCCGGAGCGGAAATTAAAAAACAGTTCAGTTCGCAAACATTAGGTATCAAGACGACTTGGGGTATTGGGGACCCGTCCAAGGCGAGGACCGTCCCATTGATGCAGGACGCGCTGCTAGGCTGAGGAGGACATTGTACAAGAGATTGCCTTCATACAATAGCCCATTTGCCCCATTGCCAAGAAGGTATCCTGAATATGGCTCTTCGGCTGGCGGTGGATGGTAGGTTTGTGTTACTCAGGGCTGCGGGGATAAATGTACTCTATATAATCTATGTCAAACTAGGAAATGTCTACCCATCTATCCTCTAAACTACCAAGAACCTGGCATCCAAAGCCTATCCTTCCCCGAGAAAATACAACAGTAATGAGTAAGCATAGTAATCTGGTATCTGTAAATCTTAAGCATTACCTAAACTTGGACTTCGGGCGTTTTGTTCACTGTAGGTAAGAAGTGGGGCGGGTAAAATGATGAATCTCAAAAGCAAGCCTAACTGTTTTGTTGGAGAAGAAAAGATGGGACGCGGGAAGAAATTAAGCGAGGGGGAAGGGGGCTTGTCTGTATGTTGGACATTTGCGGTTTGGTGAACGAAGACTTGAGCAGGGAAGCCTACGCTGTCTGAGAGTAAGTTTTCACGAGTTTTTAATTGGGAAGATGTTAATTGGACTCAATAGCAGCACATCGAATCAGCCCGTCCAGTAGCAAGAGCCACAGGAGAGAAGATGATGGTCGAAATCCTCAACATGTATCTTCTCATCTTTCTCTTCAAAATTTAGATCGAGTACTTCTACCTTGCGCAACCTCGCGAAGCCTCAAGTACCACACCTAGCGCAAAGCTTATAGATCGCACACCTTTCGCTCGAGAACCCTGTGATTCTTCTACCATACCTTCCAAGCACGGAATCAACACATCTGCAATTGCTCTCTTGACATTATCATCGTCCGTTTCATATATAGCCCTTGTGATGGCAGTTTTGTAGTATGTTGGATTTGACTCGACGCTTCCTGGTGAATTTATCTCGCCATTCCCAAAGATGAATAGTAGCAGCGCTCCCAAGGAAAAAATGTCGCATTTCTTCAATTCCTCGAACGTCATTGCCGTTTGCTCCTGATCTCTGCATTCAGTCGCATCAAAATCGTTGTCTTGTCGTACGTAGATTTTGTCCAAAGGGTCGTCTTCTATACTGACAGATTTTTCAAAATTCCATAGCTGGGAACAGTAGGAACTTTCTGGTCGACCTTCGACACTAAGGATGAAAACATTGTTGGGAACTTGGGATTTAGACAACCATGAGTGAAGCCACTTTCATGAACAACCTGCACTGCAGTAACAATATCCAAACAAATTTGAAGTCTTTGACTGAACGGTACCGAAGGACTTGATTGCAGAAAACCGCCGAGTGAGTTAACAACTCCCTCATGGGGCATTAACAGTGTAAGCGCATACCGCTCCCTGTTTTTCTGACGCGTCAAAAAATATCCGATGGCCTCCACAATAAAAGGGCAGCGCTTGATATTGTCATTCGTCAGCACCAGCGCTTCGGCAAGATAATCTTTGGGCACGAACTAGCAATTCAGCAAGTAAGCAAACGTTCTGTATTAAATTGCGGGATGGAGAATATGCTTACAAGTTTGAGTTTCTCCTCATCTTTCAACAGCCCCTCTTCTGGCAACTTATAAATATCCATCCCTCCAACGGATTCAGGAGAATGCAGTCCTGCAGAAGTTGAAATCTGCATGAATGCATCAAAACGAAAAAGAGGGTCGTCCTTCGCTGACTTTTGCCTCTTCTTTGGAAGCACTACCGGCTCTTCTGAAGCCTGCAAAAGTATCCTACTCATCCTCTTCCATTTCTGAATGAATGCTTCGTCCTCCGTGGAATGAGTTTCGTCCTTGAAAAGTCCCAGCGACAGACCATAAAGCCAAATGAACTTGGCACCCCGAAGCGATACTCCAGCGTTTGCCTGCGTATCCAGGCTTGCTCCTGTAGCAAGAAGTGCTCTTACTGCGTCAAAATTGTTTCCCAAGACAGCGCAAAACAAGGGCGTGAAGCCGGATGTGATCTCTTTAGCTTCTAGATGTTCTTCGAACGGAAACTTAGTGAGAAGATAGCTCATTATTTCTGCCAACTCATTGGGTAAACGCTTGGTGTACCTGGCTCCTGCGGCAAGGTGAAGCGCGGTGCTATGTCCACGGCTCTCCACAATGAAATTCGCGGGATCTAAGTGGTGGCCGGGCTCAAGAAGGTATTTGAGACAAGGCAAAACGTTATCATAACGCGTCAAAAGAGTTCCCAGAATTGTGGTGTTCTGATTTATAGTAAGTCACTTAATGAGCCCAAATTTAAGGAGAACGAGTTCTACGTACCTCATAATCGACATGATTCACATCGGCACCCAGCTTTAATAGTAAAGTTGCAGTCTTAAACTGCTTTTGCGCAACAGCCAGACAAAACGGGGTCTCGCCGGCATGATTGACTGCATCCATTTCTGCGTTGTACTTCACGAGGGTTTCAACGAAGAAAGCGTCCTCAAATGCAGTTTTGATGCATAGGTGGAGACAAGAATCTCCAGTTCACTCAGCCTGGAGGTGTACATTTGCTCCATTCTCAAGCAAAAGAATAAACTTATGCTCGTCTCCACGTTTGATAGCTGTGTGTAACGGCAATGATATCGATGATGGCATGTCTATTTGGTATTTCAGTCCTGATTTGAGTAGTAGAGAAAGAATGTTGACTGAGGACTTAAGGGTGGCGAAATGCGGAGCTGGAATCTGCCAGGCTTGACTGAGCTTCTCCCAATCCGCCCCCTTCTGGCGAAGCACCGACAGGGTTTTCTCAGCTTGAGTAAAGTAGTCCGAGATGTGAACAAACATGCGTAGCTCATCCCATTTGTCGTCCAGAGCAGCGTGGACAAGATTATTGCCGTAATGGTCGTACCATTTGGCGACATCGACATCATTTGTTTCCAAGAGGTGATCCAGAATTTCGGAACAGTGCAGACTAGCTGAAAGTCCTAACGCCGATACAAATTCGGAATTTTCGATCGGGCAGTTGGCACCATGCGATAACAGAATCTTTACTGCTGCAAGATCATTATGCAGAATTGCGTGGTGCAAAGGAGCACCATTAGCCACATACAGGACCGTAGTTGCGGGAGTTCGCGGTAGCAGACTAAGGTCTTCTCCTGCGGATATGAGGGCATTTGGATCCGCTCCACCCCGCATTGCCTCCGCTGCAATATCGTATTGCTCGCTAGGGTCGAAGACGTGGAGGAAGTGCAAAACTCCCTGCCCAATATCACTCTGCACGCTTGTATCAGCACCACGTCCCAAAAACAACTTCATCGCTGGATAGTTTCCAGACATGCATGATAACAAAAGCGGGGTTCTGCCGGCAGCGTCTCTGTTTTGTAAGGAGCTGACATCATCCCCGAGTTTTTCGAGAACGAGCTCCAGGTCCTTTATGCATGAAATATAACCAGCCAGAGAATGGAGTGTAAAGTTTTGAGCTGGTACTCTCATCTCACCTGATCTTTGTGGGTACCTGGTCTTTGTGCGGTTTGTATTTTATTCTTCTCTGCCTTTTTGGGTGTTGTCGGGATAACTAGTAACGGAGCTCAAAATTAAATTTTCTTCCATTGATGCCCATACGGCTCTCACGAGCAGATAAGTGTCCTGACACGTTGCTCGACGAGGCGGCCCTTCGGTGGCGCCAGTCCGACTACAGAAGTGCCCAGCCACTCCTGTCAGCCACATCTCATGCAATCAGCCATTTCTGCGGAATCTCGAACTGGGAAGCTGCCCGAGCCGATGGTCAAGCCTGGACGAGCAGCGCTTAATGGCATCGAGCAAGGTGGTGCCTATCCATAAATTATCACATGATCTACCCCTCACGATAGGTCATACAGTAGACCTCCACATACCCAGTGCACATTCATGTTCGGAAATTTGGGGGATCATGTGATTCAGACGTAATGTCCTCATCATGTGATTGAAATTATATAGAATGTTCTAGAATCATCAGAACGAGGTCTACTTAAGTACTCAGAAGTACGCTCCCTAGGCGTATAAAATGTCACTAGCAACTAAAGTTTCTGCTCAAACCCAGGATCCATTTTTGGCCTCCGTACCGGGATTCGTTGGTGGCTCCCATCTAGCCATTAGAAGCCAGCTTTGGGTGGGTTTGGGTGTGGCTAAAATTGGCGCTGACCACCATTTCAACCACCAGAGGGGGCTCAAAATGGGCTCCGCTGCTAAATATAGCCCTATCGTCGTCACCCTCGCCCACGCTGATGTCACAAATCTGACTCTGATTTTGGATTTTGCTCCAATTCTGGCACCCTGGTTTGAGGTTTGTTACTTCATTTTTGGCCCCTCAGTTGATTGGATTTTGGCTCGATTTCAGCGGTCTTTTGAGCTATTTTGTAATTTAATCCAGGCGCTGCCTCCGGTTCTGGACCGGTGGCCCCATCCGCATCAAACCTAGAAGTATAAGGCGAGCGGTATGTGCAGGGAACGTCAACCAATTCCAAGGACTTTCCGCCCAGAGGCCTGCCAGGCGCCAAAGTGAAGTTTACTACATAGGTTGGTTGGCCACAGCTTAGATTTACCCCGCAGTCGTTTCCGAAGCGGGGCGAAGAACTGCCAACATGGACCGGCTGGCGTCCACTTATACTGCATTCCCACGCTTTCTCGCGAACTCATAAGCCACATTTAGTTCCATACTGTTGCCTCAAGGCAGCTGGTCTTGATAGGTTGCACATCACGAACGGTGGGGCTTGTTCCTGCCAATCCCCTACCTCCACGCTTTCGGTGATGTTGCCACTGTTCCAAACGAAGGTGACTGCGGCCAAATGACCAGACCAGATGGCTGTTCATATCAAGAGCGGTCCAAGGAGGGGTGTCGAAGCCGTCTTCCTGCATTCTGGAGGTTGTTGAAGAGAAAGGAAGGTGATGCCTCGCGACAGTGGACGGTGGACTCGCGTCTCTTGTGGGGGACTTCCCAGCGAAATAAAGAAAGCGACCCAACCCACCAACTTCCAAAAATAGCTGTCATGTCAGGGGTAATTTTGGGATGCCCAAATCAAGATGCGGATTATAGCTTTTTTAGAACGTCAGATGTTAGAAGCATTTACCATACATTGACCGCAGTCAAAATGCAGACTTCTCTTTCTAGAAAACAGCAATTTAGACGCTTCTCCCAGACAAGTCCCCACCGTAACATTATCCCCATTCTTGAAGAACTTTGTTGCATGTCGCACTGAGACCAGAGAAAAGTGGTCTGATGCTCACAGCAACGACGGCACTTCCCCATCCAATAGGCTACACAATCGCCCTCTTGCTATCGCAACAAAACTTTGAAATATGTTGGTAAAGGATATTGATTGGAAGAACATAGATAGTATCAGTAAGGAGGAGGCCTCCTACAAATTTTGCGACGTGCAACAAAAAAACTTTCTTGCAGCTCACTTGTAATCCCTTGACTATTTTACGGGGAAAGCGCCACAAAACAAAGCGCACCAAAGTTGGTGTAGTGACTCAACTTACTTTAGTCGTGGCCGCCCTGCTTCGTCGCATATCGCTAAACCGGGCGTTTTTTGTGCGACTGCCATTCGAAGGTTGTTGGATGATTAGATGCATGGTGCTGCCACCGCCATCACCGTCGCCAACTCTGAATTCTGCCGAACCACGTCCTTGCCCTTGGCACTACGCGTCAACCTGCTTACGCTTCCTCTGCCTCTGGCTCTGGGTGTTGCCGCTTGCTACAGGGTGTGGCTCCGGTGTGAGGCGCGCCAACGCAAGACCAATTCTTACTAACGGACCTTGCATTTGAGTTGTCACGGAGAAGGATGTGGTTGGCAGCAACAGCGAGGATTTTATACCGAAGTAGCGCCGCCCAGTAGCGTCGTAACGTGATGTCACGAGGCTATTGTTGGGCCGTGAACTCGACTGTCTCGTACTTCCTTATCAGCAAATACACAGAGATATGTCATTTCAAGAAGCTATTTGTCGTGTCCGCGTAGAGCAATCCGCATCGCCTCTACTTCTACTTCCCAATAGTTCCGACGTCCCTATCGAAACTCGTCTCCAATGGTTAAGATTCATTTCAGAACAATTCCTCGATCAACAAAATTCAGACGGTGGAGTTCGCGATTGGGATCTTATCCTCAGACTCGACGGCTCAGGAGAGAATTGCGCGGACAATACATCGCCAGCTTCACTATCTACCAGAGTATATTCAGCACGCTATAGGATCCCCAATGCGATAATTGAACGACTCGACTCTAGTGAAGAAAAAGTTCGACGTGCAGAACTGTTTGCTCTAGGTGGTCTCTTATACCAGGTGCTTTCGGGCAAAGAGATGTTTAGTAGTGTAGAAGGGGGGGAGCATATTCAATCTTGTCTTGCCAAAGGAGAGTTTCCAGAAGATGTTTGGGAATTACCGAGAGCGGTGAGGATCCTAGCATGTTGGTGTCCTGGATTTGCCAAGGATTTACTGGCTGCTCGCAGTATGGACGGTACGTTGTCTTTTTAGATTTCTGTTATAAGTAATTTTTACGTTTGACTGTCCATCTACTTCTTATCCTCGCCAGAAATATTAGTCCTCAATGCTTCTCTATGCCAGCATATATGAGTTTCTTCATTTTGCTAAGTTCTCTATCTAGAGTCTCTACGTTCAAAGGTCATGGGCTACATTATAAAGCATCCCGTCCTCTTTGGTCTCCAAGTCGCCGGTGGCATTGCCTCTCTGGCCTCTATTATTGCACTGCCTATTCTCGGTGCGGTGGGATTCGGAGCGGCAGGACCAGCTGCTGGATCTGCTGCCGCTGCGTGGCAATCAAGCATAGGTCTAGTAGAAGCCGGTAGTCTTTTCGCCTGGTGTCAAAGTGCGGCAATGGGAGGAGCTGCAGTAGGCGGGATTCTGGCCACCGGCTTAGCTGGAGCAGGTGTAGCTGTTGGGGCCGCTCTTACAGGTGCCTTAGACGGCGTCAACGCTCCAGCAACAGACCTAAAGGAGAAATTCTTGACTGCTTGGAATCGGGATATCAGTGGGACGTAGTTAGTAACTGCCCAACTTTAGTGCTACTCTTCCTTAATAAGACCTTTCACGTTATCTATTTCGTTGTGCAAAAAAGGTGCTACCCTGAATTGCAAACAGAGCAAGGGATACAGGGTTTGAAGATCAGCTAGGCCGTAACGGTAGTAGTGCTGGGTAAAAATGGGTCCAAATTAAAAACACAGAGTGTCCCGTGAGACACTATTTTCGCCTCCTACTGTAATCAAGATGTCAAAGACTGTTCAAATTCCAGATACCTTTTCCGCCATTTCCTCTAGATTTGACTCCTTCTTTTCGCAAGACAGTCGCTGTTTGATTGGAAGCAGTGTATCAAAAAAAATAAAAAATCAAGGCTAATTAATTATAATTAACTAGAGTTAATTATAGTTGATTATGATTTGATTCAGCAAATTTTGACTTGATTTGATTTGATTATGATTATAATTAATTATAATTAGCTAAAATCATCACGTGATACTAAGAAAACTTAAATTTCTCAAGTAACTTAAAAGATTATTAAATAACTAACGGCTATATTAATAAGGTATAAACAAAACTTATAGGATATATATAAGAGTATAAAGCTAGTCTAAATCGGGTATAAAAAACTGGATATCTTTCTTAGAAACCTCTTCTTTATCTTTTTTATCCTTATTTATTCTTTTTTATTTCTCCCTATTTGAGGGATATTAAGGTTAATTAAAGAATATTGAGATATTTTCGAATATATCGAGTAAAAACAAGTAAGTTTATAGTCGAAAGCTTCTTAATTAGAGCTATAATTATTGAGATATTTATATATAAAGTAAAGGAAGAAGAAAGTAACCTGAGGAAAATCACTTATTTATATGTAAATTCTCTAGAATATAGAAGATTATTTAATAAGCGTCTAATTAGATATAACCCTCTAATTTTAAAGCGTCCATTTGTAAGAGAGCCTATTTTTAGCTAATTTATTTATAATAATAAGATTTATAAGGTAGCGAAGAATTACTAGAAAATCGAGGAGGTTTTAGCGCCTTCGGCTCGCGCCGCTTCGCTTACCAAGCAGTGCGATACCCGATTTAGTAAGGAGCGCCTTAAGCGATACCGAATACGGACTAGCCTAAGCCTAATTTTAGCCTTATCTCGCCTTTAAACCTCCGAGCGCACGTGTACGCTCACGTGACTAAATAATTAACTATAATTAACTATAGTTGATTATAGTTAATTATGATTTGATTAAGTAGATTTTGACTTGATTTGATTTGATTCAGAGGCTATAATCAAATCAAACTAAATCATTTAATATACTGATTAAAAGAGCAAAGCGTCGGTGAGTCCCTGCAAATTTTGTAATAGGTAATAAAAAAATGAAAGTCATAATCTTAGCCTTATATTAAAGCTATGTCCAAGCCACAAAAGTTACGTACCAGCTACCCGGAATGCGACCTCTTTATCCCTTCGTCCGGTGAGACATGTCCACACGCTAGCAAGGGGGTGTGCCGCACTGAACAGGGGGGGCTCGCCTGGCACAGGGAGCATAATAATTATGTACCTTTGTATATAAATTTATTAGTAAGCTATATTAGTGGAATGAAATCGCGTCCAGCACTCCCCCACCTTATACAAGTTTACCTTACAAAACACACAACCCCTAATAGAGCGCTTTGCCCTCCCTTCTATAGCTTTCCCAAGGACCTTTTGGCATCTTTGTTTATATAAACACCATGTACAAGTGCCTCTAGGGCGCTTATCCCAGTAATACAAGTGCGGGGCATCGGGATTAAATACCCTCCTTCCCCCTAACCCTACTCGCAAGCTCTCTAGCTTTGCCTTCTCAGAATACCCTAATAGCTTATAATAAAGCTCGATTCTGAATTGCAAGTGCGTAAGGGGACGTTCCTCTACTGTACTTAATCGGTAAAGCCTGTAACCATTTATACAGGCTACCTCGATTAGCCAGTAAAACAAGGGCCACCAATTCCTAAAGGTAGGCTTGTGACTCTCATATACTTCCCTGAATTGGTTTGCGAGATCCACCCCTCCCATATATTGATTATAATCATTAATAAAGCTAGGAATCTGAAGCTCCTTTATTGGCATTTCGCCAAAAACCTCCCGTACGATTTGCCTATTTGTGGACGTCTTTACAGGACGTTTTCTTTCCTTTACTCGCCAGTCCTTCGCTTTATTTACGGTATGGATATTACTTAAAGCTAAGATAATACTATTATCTTGCCAAGCTAAGCAAAGTATATCCTAAACCACTGCTGCAAGCAAGGTATTCCATTCTAGCTTTATAGCGAACCGATTTTTGATTACTGATAATTCTGGTGGAAATAGCTTGTACGGGCGAGTAGTATCTACTGTACCAAATTTACAGGCTCGTAGCTCTGAAAATAAGGGTATAGAGGTAAAGTAATTATCGAGGTATATTATAAGGTAGTAGCGTAGAAGGGAAAGTGTCAGATTTCGTACCAGAGAACCGGTATTTGTAAGGGTTGGATGGAGAGTTATTTTTTGTAGCCCCTTCTCTCGCAAGCTCCAAGTCTAATTATATATATATCCATAATCCGCAAGCCTGTAGATTTTATACCCTTGTTTAATCGGCTTTTTGGGCATTTTGTATATATATAAGGATCTAGAATAATAATTAGCGGGGTAGCGGGGTAATAAAAATGGAGGAAACGCACCTGCCAAAGCACCGTACTATAAGTTCGTTAATACTCACTTTAGATAAAGGCGAGTAATATACTTGACAAGAAGCTTGTATAGACGAAGCAAGAGGTTCAAGCTTATACCACCAAAGCTTATTATTTGGTAAGTAATACCCATTTTGCTTATTATTTATAGGATACGAAATATAGCAATACCGCTTGATTTATTTAAAGCGGCAGAGCGATATATGGCTTGTAATTGAGTATAGAGGACCTTTATTAAAGTCTGAATTCTAGTATATCTCAATTTGAGGCTTATCGTATACTCCCATATATATAATAGTACCGAGAAATACGTATAATTCCTCTAGAAGTAAATCTGTCCATTCTCGTACCCTCTTCTCCTTTATATATAGCCTTTGTATACTCGTATATCGATTAGTATTTGTAGTAATTGTCTGGAAAAGCTTGGGAGTAAAGAATAGGCTAAAGTAATCGAACGGGCGTGGTTTTCGTGGAAAATCAGGAGGTAGAATTGCTCTTGCTGGCTGTCTAGATTCGGGTTGGAAAGGCTTGTAGGAAACGTCTGTGATTGGTCCAAGTTTGTGAAGTATATTTGCAAGTGATTAGGTGGTTTTTAGCCCATTAGGCTCTGGTGGTGGGCTGGAAGAATGGTCTATTACTGGCTATGAGTGCGTACTAGAGGGGTATTACTGGATGCGATTTCATCCATGCGATGTAGCTTACTAATAAATTTATATGCAAAGGTATATAATTATTATGCTCCCTGTGCCAGGCGAGCCCCCCCTGTTCAGTGCGGCACACCCCCTTGCTAGCGTGTGGACATGTCTCACCGGACGAAGGGATAACGTGTAATAAATTGATTTTTATTTTCTTACGTAATAAATCACTGAGTAATACTTCAAATTTATTACCGACGGACCTAATAACGGCCTTATACGCTTTGCCGGGATCTTTAATCTTGACCTGGCAGGTAGGAGGTTCGAAGGAGAAATAATACTAGATACAGGGCTTAGGAAACTAGAGGTTATAGTAGGCAAACTTATAGAACGGAATTAAATTGCCTATAGCTATAGTAATTAACTTTTAGATATATTTTCTTAATAACTCGGCTCCTATAGCCTCTTTTCCCTTTCTAATTCCCTATTAAGTACTACTATATTTAATACTAGACTAGCTAGAGCCTTTTATAGAGTTTGCTTTCTTTCTATCCTTATTCTTCTTATACTTGGGTTTATAAGAGCGGTCCTGCTATTTATTTGGGTTATAGTAGATATTATTACCAGATCTAAATATAGTATTATTAGTAATATAAACTACTTCTAGATATATAGACTTGCCTGTTATAATAGAGTTATTAATAATTATATAAGGCATATAATAGTAAAGTAATATATAAGTAGTTAAGGTAAGTAAGCTATAGAGTAATACTTGCAAGTATAACTAATTCCAAGAATTAATTCTAATAAAAGACTAATTAATACCTCTTTCTAAAGCTAGGAGTATCTCCCTATATATTCCCTAGTACTTAGCTAAGCCTATAAAGTACTTTACTTAACTAGGAAATATAATCTCATATAATCCGTATAATTCTAATTACCTATATAATTCTAATTATAAGCTTTATATAAAATAGGAAACTAGATCTATAATATCTAATACCTGCCTATATATTATTATATATATCTATTATATTAATTCCTTCTCTGGGCCCTTATTCCCAAAAGGCCTGAGAAAACTATAAATAGCTTTATAAATAATTCCCTGAAACTTTTCCGACTACTAGTTCTCTCTAAAGATTTCCTATAATTATCTTATTATTATATTAGGTAATGGAATTAAGAATATAGTTTACTAACCCTATCTAGTTAACTCGTAAATTGCCTCTAGCGATTTCTTCTTATAAAGGTAATACAGGTATAATATATATTATTAGATATAAAGCTCTTCCTGTTTTCTAATTAGTTTATAAATCCTCTTCTATATTGTCCTACGGTCGGACTACCCTAAGCGGTTGGCTCTCGGGGCCCCTTAGAAAATACTAGTCACGTGCGGAACGCCAGAATCGCCCCCTTCTAGGGAATCACGTATCGGAATACGATTACGTTCAAATCCTTAGTACTAAGCTTAGGATAAGAGAGGAGAAGCTCAAGTATCTTTCTCTATATTTTAGTAGTTCTGGAATACGAGGGGCTTTTATTGCGATTTTTTAAAGCTTGGGGGAAAATCTTAAGCTAGCAATTCCGTAGAAAGCGCTAAAAAAAAAACCTGGCCTTACTTTCCTCTTCTCTTTATTACTCCCACCTTTACTACTCTCCCTTTTACTTATATATTATGGATCCTCCTCGCTTTTATACTGCCTGTAGGCAAAATCGGCCTGCTTCTGACTTTAT